TAAGTTTCTTACATTCGTTTGTAATAGCATTATTCAGTCGCTTACGTTTTAAAGCCACCTATATGCTAAAGATACCCAAAGAACCAATCATTACCGAAAATGAGCTGTAACCAATGTTGAACCGAGTCTCATGCCCTCGTGTCGATCCATCACCTGACCTGGCCATATCCCGGTCTGAGCCGGTCCTCTGCAGCTTCTTGGCGCCGTGTCTCTCCGAGGACACTCCTCCGAGTCCCGCGAGCTGGCGAGTTCCGAGCACTCCGCGAGCACACCCACCCCGGAGGACCTCCTCGGGACACTCTCCGACACCGTTCCGTCGTCTCCGACGTGACGCCCGTAACTCTCGCGCCGGCAGCTCACCTCCCAGCGCCCAACTCACCCACTCTCGGTTTCTATAAAGTGAGCGCCAGCGCAGTGCACCGCGTCACCGCGCTGCCTCCGGTGGGAACCAGTTGTGCCGCGGTGCACCGAGCCGGCGGCGGGCACGGCAGCGAGGGACCTCTCCCGGTGTGTTCTGTTGGAGTCACGGTCACCGTATGTGTACCCAGAGAGCGAATCATAAAACCGGCCGCGCGGGGCTCAATTTGCATCGAGAAATGTCCAGCGCCTCAGCCGCTTGAAGGCTCCACGAGCTTAACAGCCTGCCAGAGACTCTCTTGTCCCCCAAAGCTTCTGAAACCTTTCTCATATTTTTTTTTTGTGACTCGTAGTCCGAATTTGTGTTCAGCTGTATGATGGACAATACTGCATTCACTAATTCACTACGAATTGATGTGCTATATGAAGTTCGAAAAATCAATAGATGAATCACATTCATCCGTAAAGACACAACCGAAGGTAAATGTGTTGATATTGTGTAATGTAGGTATATCGTGTTATCACTGAGTACCTACTTCTTGACACTTTTTCTTATTTCTGTCATCTAATGTTACACAGAGGGATTCTCGAGCTACTGACTGTCCCCTGAGCATAAGGCCACGATAGCACTCACTGTTTTGATCCATCGCCGGCGGCTGAATTAATGTTTACATGCACATGACCACTCTAGACCCTCATGCAGTACACTGGCATAATTTGTACCGTATAGGTCAGCTGGCATGAATACACTTAACCTATGCGGTATGCATATGTATGCAACGTGCATGCATGCACGCCCTGGGTCCTCTCTGGCCGGCAGCCCGCAGAAGACGTGACAGTCGGCAGAAGGCCAGCCGTGAGCCGTCCCGGTCGGCTAATCCGCCGTGTGACGTCACTGGTAACGATAGGACAGTGACGTCACCACGGCGAGTCTAATCCGCCTCCACGAGCCATCGATATGACTAATGAGCTGGACAATGGACCGGGCCTGCTACGTGATCAGAAATCGGCGACATCACCAGCTAGGTATTCATTTCATACTTGTAATCGTGTATGCAATGCTTGATACCGTACTGTGTACCTACAACAGTACAACATTCGCTTCGCTGCAGCTATGCTATTCACCAGCTATGCTGCTGGCTACCACCAATACCGCTTAGTTATGCCTGACAATACATATATTTACATGCATTTATACATAATTGTATACATTATATATGCTTGATAATGCATGTACATATGTCTATATTTAAATATAGACAAACAATTGTTTGTTGTAAAATCCGTAAGAAATTGCTTGTTTCCTCACTCGCCATGCACATCAAACTACAATTCGTTGACTGACTGTGGGTGTTGTATCCTCAGCTCTCTTCGCTCTGCCGTCCTCCGTCGTGACACTCCAGCTCTCTTGACTGACTCTATAGTCTATATTGTACCAGACTTGACCAATTCGCGAGATACACCCAGTTCCGCCGCCCAAAACCGACTGGCCGGCGGAACAGACGAAAACACCCGACATCAACTACGCTAATGACCGCCCGCGGCCTGACCCGGGGCGCGGCGGCGGCCGACCGGCCGGTGACCGCGACCGGACCGGGACGAACACGTGGACGGGCCCGTATCACAGCAGTGGATTATAATGTGTTTATTTGTTGTAAGAAAAAATCTGCTTTACAGTATCTTTGTAATAACAAAAGTGGCTCAGTGTAAAGCTTGCATTTACAACTATCTCTGATGCAATTATTATTTATCAACAGTCAAAAGATGTCACATTTCTGTTGCACCGCTATATTGAGCGGTTGGAGGAAAGGGTCTGCTCATTACGCAGGAAACAAGCCCTCGGCACAATATATTCACCGGACGTGAGTAACCAGCGGGAACCTATTGTTGACCTGTTTGACGGCCGATTAGCGCCAAGTTCAAAGTGGCGCCGATGCATTTAACGGTGAGGGGAAGGGGTGGCGGTGGGTTGTGTGGCGGAAACAAGCGTTTGGATGGGTGACTCAAGATGCATTGACCGGGTAACCCACAGTCAGGTCTCACTCCACAGTTTGCACACACGATCAGAGACTCAATAGCCGAGACTTCTAAAATCAGGGTCTCGTCAGTTGGGACTACAACACCATGGAGGCCAGCCGCTCGATGTCCACGATTGTCCTAATGGCAGCAGGCTTTGCACGTCGATTTGAATTTTCATGTTGTTAAGTGTATGGCCCTGTGTTGTCTGCGGATAATGCATGTCATTACGGAGCGAGCGAAGCGAGCGGAGTCTTACGTAAAATAACGGAAATTTCTGAGTATGAGCGGCCGGCCGGCCGGCCGGACGCTTTTGCGAGGCTTATATCTCAGCAACCACTTGACCGATTTACATGCGGTAATTTTTGTAGGGTAGCTTCATTCCTTCTACCAAGTATTGGACTATTCCCGATGCATGTGGGTGACCCCTTATGCACGTGCCACGTGCAAAACGAAGAGGTGTCACTTTTGTAATTGTTGCAATATCTCGGTAACTACTTGGCCGATTGCGCTGAAAGTTGGCATGTAGGTAGGCACCCACTAGGCACTGCATATCCATGTGCCAGAGTTGGGGTGCTGCTGCACGTGCGCACGTGCAGGGGTCGTTTCCAGATCTCGAGAACGGCTGGACCGATGGCGCTCAAATTTGGTACACAGTTAGGGACCAGTTAGTAGGGTGCCGTGCACAAGTCAGTTGGGACCCATTTTGCACGTGCGCACGTGCAGGGTGCCGCTCCCAGATCTCGAGAACGGCTGGGCCGATTGTGCTCAAATTTGGCACATTGCTAGAAACCGGTCAGTAGGGTGCCGTGCACAAGTCAGTTGGAGGTACCCCCTCGAAATTTCGCACGTGCAAGACTCACCCCCTCGCTCGCTCCGTTAGTCGCCCCAAAAGGCGCTATACTGGTTTATGATAAAACGACAACAAAAGTGCTGGTGGCCAGTATTGCGAGGAAAGAGATGCCACATCCCATCGCTGTTCCTTCTCGGGAACTAAGCAACTGAATATTTCAATGCTTGCCATTACCTCGGAAATCGGTGAAAGGTTTTCCACTTGTTGATAACTGCTTCGTTTGTGGATGTTCTTTCTGCCTACAGCATAGACTCACATTCGGTTACCTCAGCCTCGGTTAGCTCGGCGAGTCAGAGTGGGCGGGGCCAGCCAGTCGTCCGCGCGGACGCATCGACATCGATGTAGCCAATCCGGGGCCGTCTTGACTCGTTCTCTAGTTGGCGCCCTCTTATGAGACATAATCATAAGACAAATTAACAGCGAGCGTTGGACATTGGATGTTATCGGGCATGGCAAAACACGTCTACCCTGTAAATCACACAAACCCATATTGTAGGTCCATCACTCCCAATCTGAGTTAATATCGCCGGTGCGGAGACCGTCGGCGTCTCAGAGGGCGGGGGAGATGGGGGGAAGTGCGGGAGGGGAGATCTGGAAGCCCACCACCTGATCAGAGGTTCGGTACCGGTCAAAGGTGTGGTTCGCTTCGGGCTGCTGCTGTTCGAACAGGGCGCGGTACCGGCACTTGGTTCCAAATTGACCTAATTGCTCTATGATTTGACTGGGATGGTACCGCATAGAAGTGACGTCGTAAGAATTTGAGTGTGCTCGAAACCGTATTTGCTCAGAAAGCGTATCACTTCACTTATGTGGGAGCAGAGTATCGTCAAACGTTTCAGTGGTGCTTTTCAGCTAGTACTACCTCCCTCCGAACTGCAAGGTAAGCTGCTCCTTGATTGGTTCATCTTAAATTAAGCGTGGTCGGCTCCTGAAGAGAATGTTGTTGTTAAAGCTAAAAACTTTCAATTGCAGTGCAGTGCTAGCCAACTATGCCTAAATTATTGTTCGTGAATCGCATTGAACTTGAGACCTGAAGAATTTAATCTACATTGGCGCACGCTCTAAGAAAATTTTCCTTGGATAGCACAGCAAAATATTGATTGTACTTGATTTGAATCTGATATGCCAGTTTTACATATTTCTTGAGCACAAAACAAACTGTAGATTAATACGTCGAATGCATTCAGTATCATATTCAGTAGGCATTATTCAAAACCTGTGTTCTGGTATATTTAAATACATAAGCTCTTCTTTTTTCTCAGAGCCGAGGGATGGCACAAGATCACTGACGTCACCCTTTGCCTCTGCTCTTCCTGACACTCCGTCCTACTTCTCAATACCCTGGTCCCGTCAAGAACAGTCGACATCTCCTGCTGCCACACGGTCACTCCTGCTCGGGAGTGCTGACTTCAGCACTGTTCCCGGCCACGAACAGACACCTCAACGCCCTCCGGAGCGACCGCAGCCCTGGCGAGGTCAGGTCCTGCGACCCAGGCCGAGGGTGCCTCTGTGGGCGACCCTGCCGCCGCCGCTGCCACCTCCACAGCTACCTCCGCTTCCGCCGCTGCCGCCACTGCCACCGGAACAACTCTGTTGGCTGAGGTCTCTCTTGGCGCTGCGACCCATGGAGGTGAGCAGACCTTCGAACGGCTCCTGTAACTTCCACTGGTCGCGGGTGGTGCCCGGTCCGGCCCTCCAACACCCAGAGGTTGGATGGAGGGAAAGATTGCGTGAGATGGGATCGCTGTCCCATCGCAGAGACGACGGGAGTGTAATGGGTGATGGAAGAAGGCGGCGTGGAGAGTCCTTCGGCCAAACGGAGGATACCGTAACCTCTGAAACAAATAGCCGCACTGACTTAGACGAGCGCGGCGCAGCGCAGAAACGGTGAGCTCGTATGGCTATTTCAAGGTGGACAAGTTCTTTTTTAATTATCTTTTAAAAATGTATTGCTCAATCCTCATCTTCAGCTATGCAAGCTTACAAGTGTTGGTTATCTGTTAGCTAACTGTACATATGATTAGCAAAATGACGCTATTCTACACATTATCGTATATGGTATAGATTCAAATAAAAAACTTTCCTTATGATTGCGTTCAAACATTGTCGTTGTAAAAGTGTTTGAACTCGGTCCACCTCGGTAACTGACGCGCTGACACTGTTGTTGTTGTTATTGTTTTTTAGGCGCTCCAGCGAATCCGACCGGCCGTTCTTCTGTGGGGAGTGCGGCAAGCAGTTCCGTCGCGCGTCCACCCTATCCACCCACCTGCTCATCCACTCGGACACCCGGCCCTACCCGTGCCACTTTTGCGGGAAGCGCTTCCACCAAAAGTCCGACATGAAGAAGCACACCTTCATCCACACTGGTGAGACCGCAGCTCATCGGGGAATTCGGGCTCTTTGTGTTCCACGTTAGTATTTGTAGAATGTTATAAGCGCCTACATAGCTGCGTATTATGATGAAATGGTTAAGTCAACTGCACAAGATGCCGATTGGAATGCATGCTACGCAAAGATTATCGCATTTGTAATAGCAAAACACAAAAGTTGTCTGTTTTATGGCTCTTTCTTGTTCGTGCTGTGCGCAGTGTTTTGAAGTTACCTTCAATTACCAATTTGTTTCCCTTCATTTGCAGCATTAGATACCCAGTGATTTGAAATAGGTCTACTTTGAGCAGTTGACGAGACACGTTACACTGCAATTTAACCACTTGCCTTCTCACGTTCAGCCAGTCAGAGGCTTCTAACCGCTTATCAGCGACCTTCTAGTAGATCTATTCCCCGCTCGGCCGCCCGTTCAGGATCGGCACGGCCAGGCGGCGAAAATCACGCTGTGAATCTCGACCGGACCGTTTAGCGGCGTCTGTGCCGTCATTTAGCGAACCCCATAAGGCCGGCGGCCAGCTCTGCCGCTGCATTTTTAACAGCTCGGCCGATCGGAGGCGGAGAGGGGAGCGATTTAGAACTGCCCCCGGGCAGTCGGTGCGGGCGGCCCCTCGCCCCAGCTTGGCCCCAGCCGTCTGTCACTCTGAGCGGTCGCGGCAGAATTTCGGCGCTGGCACCGAGTGGCACACGTGATCAGCATTGCCCGGTGCTTCCCCGTCGTCTGGCTACCGGTATTCAGGCAGAAAGTGTCCGTTTCTGTCCGTTTTAGGGATGTGGATTTTATTAGGCGCTCGATCAATGAGTGGAGACGGGTCCCACGGGAGCGGGAGCCGTTTTTGACCAGTAAGATGGTAACACTGGGGAACGTTAGGGGCAGCGGTCAGCTGTCTGCCGAAATGGCGCCGGAAGCTCCAAGGGCGGAGCGGCAGGAACAAGGATCAAGGCAAATTGGTTAGTTTTTTTTTTGCTGATTAACTTATCCATCATCGTATAAAGACAAGTGTGATAAAAACAAAAGGCTATTTTACAATATTTCAAAACAAATTTTGACTATGAGGACAATGCAAAAAAAAAATCGAGTTACTTGTGTGTAAAAGCCCAGCGCCAGTTAGCCAAAGCGGCGGCTGCTAGCTCTGCTGTGCCGGCTCGCCGTCCCTGTGGGAACATGGAGACGTGCGCGGCATCTGACGGTTCAGCTCTGGTGGAAGAATGAGGTGGCTGGCAGTCGGCAAAGATTCGCTAAAAACAGTTGTCTAGTGCACAGTGGGCTGTCAGTGCACGCTACAAGCTACAGCTAACGACTGCAACAAAAAGCATAGCCACTTTCGCACAACTTTGTACCGTTTGCGTCCTTTGATTGCACCATAATTTATTGCTCGTGCCCACTTAAAACTCTTTCTGGACGTTTTACCCTTCATATCCCATTGACAGCGGCAATGGTTTATATACTGTTATAGGTGTACTTCCTGAATGTCAGCCACATTTTTGTGTGATCCGCTGGTAGGTGAGAAGCCTCACCTGTGCCAGATCTGCGGGAAGGCGTTCTCCCAGTCATCCAACCTGCTCACGCACACTCGGAAACACAGCACCATGAGGCCGGTCCCCTGCCCGCACTGCTGGCGTACCTTCCTGCGAAAGGTGAGCGCACTACTGCATTCAATCGCGAACAGCAAAACAAAGCCCAACTTCTAAAGCCACATCTAGCTGCACGTATGTGCAAATGGTCATCGGTCATTCCATCAGCATTCTAGACAACGAAATTCCAAAACTTGGTGCAATTATCTGTGCTCGTCGAACGTAATATTTTCTGTGAATATGTCTTGCGTTTCAGACGGATCTTCAGAGACACGAGGAGACCCACCGACGCCCTCCACGACCGCCGGACGGCACAGGGTCCAGCGCGCTGACTCCAAAGGACGAGACTTCAACCAGCCCAGCAGAAGAAACTACTCGGAAAGGGGTACATAATCAGTCATGGATGTAGGTTGTAGCACTTGCGAGTACGTTTAGATTTGCTCATGCTTTTTCATGTGCACTATCGCCCGGCTATTATCATTAGTGCATCAGTGTGCATTTCAGGCGTACAGATAGTAGGCAAGTGCTTTTAAAACATAACCACGATAGTGCAATATGCAAAGTATGTGCAAATACTATTTAGACCTAAAAGAGAGCTATTTCGTTCCGCATCATTGATGTAACCTTTAGCCTTCTTGTGAATTTTTCCTTGTAGGCAGAAATAAACACATTACTATACGAATACATGCATTCCCATTTACGATTTTAATGATATACGGATCCAAACGAACACCAGTGATATTCGTCAGTCATTTTAACTTCTCTATTCTTCGCCACAAATCAATGTCACTTCCCCCGCATAGCTTCCAACTGCTCTTATCACGCTCGGAGTCCGACTGGAGAGACGTGGGCGGCGAAGTCCCGAACTACAGCTAGACAGATGTCGCCGAGGTGCACCAGAAGTGAGGCATCAACTGTGAGGCCGAGGTGACTGAAGGAGACTGAGACGGTGACTGTCTGCGTACTACCATGTCCTAGGTGTAAACTAGTAACTACACTTGCTGTTCATGCAATCCAAGCGTGAGAAGTGCAACAGGTGTGGACTCAATTCGAGACTCGCTTGGAGCGTTTTTTTTTTTTTAAACAGAGGACACGAGAAAAATCAAAATTTAGGTAATCAGACAATCATCACATCATAGGTTAATCAAAGTTAGATAACTGGTGCATGGCTTCTAGAATTATTGTGTCTTCATCAATTACCAATAAGCTCACTTCAAAATTACCACCACATACGTTACATAGCTCTGCCAAATATTTAGCTCGGGAAAGCTCGGGAAGCTCGGGAAATTTATATTGCATTGATTCCAAGCATTGTTATTAGGAGGCATACCTTTTTTTGCGGCCGCACACCAGTGAGGCTGTAGCACAGCTGAGCTGCGGCTCCCGGTGGAACCAGCGATGGTTGTTTGTTCACAACCGACTCTCAGCTACCCACAGACCGTGACCCCGATCACGCCGCCGCCGACCTGCGCCGATATCGATGGGCCGAATTTCACGGCGCAAACATTCTGCGCTCCGCCACATAAAGCTCTGCCCTATGAGCGCCGGCAGCGGACGGTGCTGTTTTCTCGGGCCGAGCCGCGGCAGAGCCGGAAAACAGCAGCATTCGGTCCGCGGCCGGCGACACCGCCGCGAGAAACGACCGGCAATATGGGAAGGTACGAGAGAGCTCCGCGACGTCCGGTCGCCGGCGCTTCCCACACGCCCGCGCGGCTGTATATCATAGCGCCGCGCCGAGCGTTGTCGCACTGCTCCGTAATCGTGTTTGGGTGGTTATCGCACCGGGACAGCGTGGAGGGTAAGCAAGCGGTCTCAATTTCCCACTGTCTCCCTTTAACAGCTTATCACGATTTAATGTAATTTATTGCCGGCTGGTAATCAGAAAGTGGCTTCTTCTCACCCAGACTCAAGTGTAAATAATGGATGATGTTGAGATGTCCAGTGGTGTTGCACTTTGTATACTGTAAATTGTGAATCATGTGGTCTCCCCAGTATGCGTGATTATAGACCTTGTCAGAGATAGTCTCTTTCATCTGTGCCACTTTATGCCTTCCCGGGAGGGCAGTTCCTAGTGAGCGCTATGGAGGGCTTTATATCTACGAGTATGCATTCTCTATGGCTGGTGTACTAAATCCAGTTAGATAGTATGACACATTGCGAACACCCAATCATCGATGGATAACTGCTCGCAAATGCATTTATCACAATTATCACAATTTATTACACAGAAACAGTGCTTATGTCGAACACCGACAAAATCATACACAATACAGGCATAATATACCGGCGGATGGTGAACGTACAACTAATATAAAACAGCAAACAGAGCATGTGCAAGTATATAACCATTGCATTGCGAAATCTAAAATATAAACAACAGATTGAAGCCAGATCGCACGATTCAATTGGATGCATCGTTCAATATGAAAACACATCCAGTAATGATTCTTTCGAAGCACTGGTTTGCACTCCGGCTAAATCTACAGTGGTACTGGTAGCACTCATGCGTTCACCTTCACATTATACTGATGAGGAGACAGCTGTTTTTGCGAATATTGGTGTTAATGTGATCGCCAAACATACCAGCAGCCTCGTGGTATTAGGTAACTAAGGTCGTGGGACTGCGTTAGATGCCGACATATTTGTTTCACACGATTCTTCACCAAATGAGTAATAAGCTGTTCGGCTTACTATTCGGAATAGCCATTAGATTACCAAACACAGATCCAGTTACACCACTCAACTGCAGCGCTTAATTACCATAGGTATTGCATTGCTTCGTTACACATGCTGCTTCCTTACTGTCTACAGAAGAGCTCATGTCATGTCTTCCGCGTCCGTTCGGTATTGGAGCCCGACCCAAGGAAGCATGCCTAATTGTGCGCTCTATTGTAGGTATAGCACTTATAGCACTGCACCATTAGAGCCATTAAAACGTAGCAGTGCAACTATATCCAGTGACCGTAGCACACAGCAAAAGATAATTACTCATAACCGCGGAAAGATACCGCGGTTTGATGCAAACATGCTAATTCTCGCAGACTCCTGGTGAGTCTGGCCATTATAACTTAACATCAAACCATCATAACTTACGGGGTACAGCACAATATGCAGTAAACAATACAAACAATAGCGACTATTAACGTAAAACAACAATGGCTATATAATCATACAGCTAGTGATTGCATTTATCCGCATTTAACGTGCTTAAGCACCGCCGACCAGCGAGAGCCAGGTCGGTCAGCAACAGCCATACACATTACACCGATCCAATTACCGAACTACTAGATTCACATATCCGTTCAGATACATTGCGCTTCACGCTACGCCACCACACAGACCTCCGAGTAAGGCATGATCATTGCCACAAGCCAGAATGTGGGTTGAGATTGCCTAGCATAGTGAAGTGAGGGGTTACGAGTGAGCTTGTGGAATAGGCATTCCGCTTGGTATGCTGAAAAAACTTGCGTTGCGAAAATTAGAAATGCCTCGGCACACGCGAACAGTTCAGGATGTTGTGATGCTCGAAATGTTCTCCTATCACTAGCTTTACCGGATTTCCTATCCAATCCATATAGTTTTATCATATCAGCCAATCGTTGAGCCATCGCAACCCATCGACGGTAAAAGATGTTGGCGGTGTTCGGATGTTCGGACGTTCACGTGCTTCGTCATCACCGTCTTATGTCCCTTTCCAGTTACTCCGATGTCCCCCTTTTCTCTCCCTCTCCATCCACCGCCCTGACTCCTTCCTTTAGTCCCCATACATACCTTCCCAAACTCCCTGCCCCTACATTCTCTTTCATTTTCCCGTCCTGTCCCTCCCTCCCGTCCACTCCACTGTGCCTGTGGTCCGCCTAGACCACTGCGCGAACCATGACCTCCCATCAACTCCACTGTCCCCACAGCATTCCTAGACGGCTGCACGCACCATCCCGTCTCCACACTGTCCCCACGGCCTTCCTAGACGGCTGCGCGCACCACCTCCCCACCCCTGCCCCCACGACCTTCCTAGACGGCGGCGCGCACCACCTCGCCGTCGAGCTCGCCGTAGTCGCCCTGCAGCCGGCGACTCTGCGGGTCAAACGGAGCCTTCAGGTGCAGCTCGGCCGGCACCCGCTCCCCCATCACGTCCAGCTCCCAGACGGCCTCCCGCAGGAAGGCGTTGGTGACCTTGCCGCCGTCCGGCCGCCGCACGTACCCGTAGGCTACCATCCGGTCCAGCGCGAACGCGTGCTCGGCGCGGCGTACGAAGCCGACCGGCGCGCCGTTCATCCAGATGCCCTCGAGACCCCAGAGGGCGCGCGGCTGGGGCAGGCTGAGGGTCACCAGCCGGCGATGGACGCCCTCCGCCTTCTGACGCTCCACGGCCTCCCGGCCGGCGAACGACTGGTCCGTCTTCAGCTTGCAGGTGAAGAGCATGCCGGCCTCCTGCGGCTTGTCGTCCGGACGGATCTCAGCGTGCCAGTGCTTGTAGCCTGTGCGTGGAATCGGGTGGGGCGAGTTAGTCAATAAGGAAATTTTGCAACGATAGACAAGGAAGTGGGTGATAAACAGCTAAACCACAATCGGACACGTGCTCGTCATCGATACAGTTGATGGTGCCTCTTCAGGCAACATCATCTCAAATGTCGACGGTCACTGTCAACCCTTCACAGTAGACAGCTAAACGCTACTCTCACTTCCCATTTTACGTGACCGGTGAAATGTCATAACCCCGATTAGACCGACCCCATTTGCCAGCTGAGCCTCCCGTTCCGTCGGCGTTCTATCGCTGCGAGTCTGGCCCACTTCAGTGGGCTGTCCACCTCCCCTCCCCTTCCCCTCCCCCTCCTCTTCGCTGCTGACCTTTCTCGGCGCTCAGGCTGTCCATCGCCCGGTAGCCGGCGTCCCTCAGGCCAAACTCGGCGCCGGCAGCCTTCAGCAGGCGGTAGACGGTCACCAGATCGCCGGAGGGTATGTGTAGCTCCCAGCCTGGGGCAGAGGTCAGGCCAGGTCAGATCGGCAGCATGTATTGCGGGGGGTGAGGTGTGTGAGGCTAAAACCATCTGTGTAACGTCCCCAGACAGAAACAAGTATTAGACCTTGCACGTGCCTCGAAGAACATAGTGCAATTGATCAGTTCAGCTGACGCACGTATGGATTGCAATATGTTTCCCTCGACATATTTTGTTTTTGCTCCAGCACCACAAAGCTCCGAGACTGGGAGATCAAATGAAGTTAACCTCGCCGAGCAGACCGGCATAGGACCGAGTTATTTGGATGCGTGACAGGACCAAACGCTGTGAATTTGTCTGTCGGCGTCTGTGGTGGAATAATAAAACTGCAACATTCTGGCAGCCCAACAGCCACCGGGACTGGGGAACTTCTCCATTTGCGGAGCAGCAGAGCACCACAGTGCAACAGCTGGCAATTTGCATGTGCTACGACCAGATGATTAAGGAACGGCTGCATTTCATTTGCGTGTCTACTTCAGCCGAAGAAAAAAAAAACTAGAAGGATGGGAGAGAATTGAAATTCCCCGGCTGCACTGAATGAGTAACGCTGATTGTTAGAGAAAAGTTTGATAAAAACACACCAGATAACAAGTAAAACACGGAACAAATATAGCATGAACGCGTTTCGATTATTCGCCATCAGAATGATAAATTTCTTGCCGAAACATGCCCATCAGCCGGTCATCACCCCGACCCTACGTGTCGTATACCGAGCCGGGTAAGTACATAACGATTAACGACCCCATAATCGACACTTCCGTAAAGCCCACGGTTCCATCACACGGCCTTACCGAGCTCGCCGACGAAGCTGAGGCGCAGCGCGCGGCATCGGATGCCGCCAATATCCACCATCTGAGTGGTGCCGAACGGGAACGTCTCGTTACTCAGGTCGGTCGAGGTCAGACTCTGCAGGATGGCGCGACTGGCGGGAGGCAGGGTCACCGTCAGCGGGTGGAACAGGAGTCGTCACTGGGCTCATTGAGCATGCAGTGATCGCGGGAAAACAGACGTACTTAGTTACTTCACATATAGGCTGCACAGCCTCCTGGCACCTGCAATGTTCTGAGCACAAACAACTTCAGTTGATAGTGCAACTGATTCAAGAATACAAGCCAAGTAATATCCATTTCGTCATTCCCGCCTCACCTCTTTGGTCCCTGCACGGAGAGCAGACCCATATCCTCCGACCGGTCAGTCAGAGTGACGTTCAGGCCCCGGTCCTGGATGGCGTTGGCCATGTGGGCCTTCACGTGCTCCGCGAACCCGCCGCCAACGGCCACGTAGAAGCCGCGACCCTGCGGCAGACGACAGGCACCCCGTCAGAACAAGGGAACGGTACGGCCAGCAGGCAATGCCGGATCGCAGGTCCAGGAGACAGCGATCGGGACAGGATCGTTCCATTACAGCGCCCTGGACAGATCAGATAACTCAGATATTTCGGTACGTGCACAAAGGAACGGAAGAGCCGCGGATCCCGAGTAGACGTGAATAATTGTTATCTTTGCCACAAGATGGCAGTAGTGTATGCACCTGGAATGTATACTGTTCCGCAAGGCTTGCCGCTGAATCAACAGTTCGCCCGCCGCTCGCACTACATCTGTTAACGCATTCAAACCAAGCACATATGGATGGTGACCAGTAGGCGGGTCTGCCGATGCTGAATCCTGCTAGGAGGCTGGGTCCGAATCCTGTGTTTCTTTATTTCACTGAGCACGCTCAGTGGAGGACAAGTTTGCATCTGCATTGCCAGCACGAGCTCGGTTCGATGTTTTCCCGACTATTCTGCGCTGGATTTAATCATACTCATGCTTGAAGTGTGGAACTAAACTTTTTTAAGTCCCCAAGAGCTGCTGTTGTACAAACTCTAAAGTCTAAAGTCTAAGCAAGCAATGTGTGTATGGGAAGTAGCGTGCACCACATTGAAGACAAACAAAAGAAAGGTTCGTCTGACGTAAGGCAAGCTGAAGAACAAATAAGCAGTTTTATCACTTTACAAGTGGGATTTTAATTACATGCGGACATGCGGACTGTGTGTAAAATAAGGCATAGGTACCTATAACGAGCCAAGCGGTAATGGCCACGCCATGTGTGGATCACTCATGATCGTAAATAGATACATAGTTACATGCATACAATATGTACGTGCATATGAATTCTGGTAAGTACGCAAGACAATATGCACTAGAATTTCACAAGATGACGGTTACTGGGCTATATATAGGTAGTTACACGACATTGTCAATTACGTGAAGGGTAGATATATGGCCAAGAGTAACAAACTTTATTTCAAGTGCCCATTTAAGGAAGCGTTCTGTTAAGTATACCAACGTAATTCTCGAACTGTATTTTTCGTGCCCGTGGGCCGACACTTGAGAACGCTGTGGTCGGTTTGTTAGCCGCGGCGGCTCGTCAGAAACGTACCGCTGTTATAATTGACTGGTGGTCGGCTGAGCTCCCGCCGGAGTCCGACGCTCTCGCCAGAGTCCGACGTTCCTCTCGGAAGAGTCAGACTCGCTCGCCAGTCACACACCGCTCTCGGCCGGCGGCCCTGATTGGACGCATAGTCGGACCGAGCTTGCTGCGTGCCGGCCCCGATTGGCAGATGAAAAATGCACGGCCCCCATGGCGCGGGCATCTGATGGCCAGTCGGAGCTATAACGCCTCGGAATCCGCCGGGATCGTAATGCGCCTATGAATGATAGCGCAGGTGAGCTCCTTTGTGAGCGGTAAATGGAGGGAGGTGTGTAAGATCGACTGTCGGCCAGATATCAGATGGATTCTTAAAATCCATAGGTTTCTAAGACACCTCAGCCGTTGTTCATTTTCCTGCTGTATCTCTCCATCTACATCTCTCTCCATCACCGTTTTTCTTGCTCTCCCTGTCTGTCTCTCTCCTCCTGCTCTCTTTTCTATTTCTTTTATTTACTGGGTTTTGGTAATAGTTATTCGACCATTGCTGGAAGAAGATGAATTGAAAAAATATATATGTTAGTATTATATATTTACGCATTTGTAGCACAGCAACGCAATGCAAAATATTTTTACTCAGTTTAGTAGAAACGTCTGCATTTTATTTTCCAGTCAGTCCTATGATTGGTTATAACCACTGACCTCAGGCGTTTCCAGACTGATGTTCGACCACACAGGCCAGCCATTAACCCGCGCCCCGCTGGGCTATTCAGCCATACGCGCCCTGCTGGGGGGGGGGGGGGGGGGGGGCAGATTCTGCCCCCCCTGTCTAACTTCCGAACCGATGGTCGTAGAAAGACGGGGAAAACGGCAATCGAAAGCTCTCAACAAGGCGGATCTTAAGAGCCCAAATTTTTTTGCTTAAGTAGGTCAGAGGTCAGGTCAAGGTCAGGTCAAGGGTACAAAATGCAAGTTTCTACAGTATCGGCCTTGCACCGTAGTTGCCGAAGAATGGACTGAGACTGATTGCCCAAAACGTGTTCTTAGACTACCAAGACAATATTCGTTGCACACAATGTCATTCAAAGGTCAAGGTCAAGGTCAGGTCAGGTCAGGTCAGGTCACCAAAAACTAAATATAGAAAAGGGCATGTGCGACGCATGTTTTATGGGTCATTTTACTCATGGAATTCAATAGGCACACTCAATAAGTGATATGGACCACCTCTGGATGAATTTCAGGTCGAGGTCAGGTCAAGGTCAGGTCAAGTGAGGTCAAATTTTGAAGTTGGTTGTTAAGTCCTAAAAAGGTGTCTATCCGATGCAGTTTTTCACGGCAAATCGAATGGTGCTATTTTTGTTTCCGTACGAGGTCTAGAACTTCCAAAAAAATCATTTTCCAAAAAAATTGTGTGTCGCGACGTCATAAAATTTTGAATAACTCCCACATTTTTGAACCGATTCTTCTAAAAATTGGTGTGTAGGTGCACATAGACCACTTCTTTGACATATATTCCGGTTTTTTTCGATAAACTCAAAATTTTGGATTTTATAAATATTTTCCCAAAAAAGTCAGTTTTTTGGAAAAACTTTGGCCAAAATCCAAAATTTTCAAAAAACCGAGATAGCCATTTGATAGACAACGTAGAATCACGTATAACCTTTTTTGTTACGTCTTGATTCCTTTAAAAATGAAGATGTTAGCGGCGTTTGAAATTTTGCCGTTTTTGAGGCGAAAATTGCGAACATGACGTCACTAAAACGTCAATTTCTCAAAATTTTTCCAACGGATTTCGCTCAAATTTTCAGGGAACGTGTCAAATTGATGTATGATAAGGTACTGAAAGTTTGACGTCGCTGGCGTAACGCGTTTAGAAGTTATTGGCGAAAAACGGGAGGGGGGGCAGATTCTGCCCCCCCCAGCGGGGCGCGGGTTAAGTACCTACTACAATCATACCGGGCGTCCCTGGTGACGGTTCTGCCGGCGCCTCTATGGGTCAGTGACCGCCCGCTGCCACTGGGGTCCCGGGTCCGGGGTCCGGAGTCCGGGCCCGGGTCCAGGGCGTCTCCGGCGGCCGGTAATGGCTCGACTGCGGCCTTTGTTCACCGTTCACCCTCCGTGGACAGCGTCAATGGCGATCGGCCGCCAGCCGACGCACCGGGCAAATCTGATCATCGCGTCAGCCCGGGTACCTGACCCCGTCCGAGTGGCGGGTGATGGGAGGCTGTGGGAGCGGGTCGGCCAGAGCGGCGGAGCTGAATGGTGTGAGAGGTTACGGGTGGTATGGCAACAAAATATGAAATTGTGCAATGTCGATAGCTGTTACAACAGCGCTGGGGCAGCCGCAGATATCCCGCAGTGGTCGCCACTGTCCTACCGCAGTCTAATAAAAGCACCGGCAGTTCAAGAACAGCCCGGCCCGTGGCGCCGCCGTGCCAGTAGCGTAACAATGCCTCCGGTCGTCTGCCAATCGACTGTATGGCTGGGCGCGCTCCGTGTCGACCGCCGCCGCACGGGCAAATAAAACTCGTTCCGAAGTCGGCGGCAGCGGCGGCGCGTGGTTCAGCGGCGCGTTAACTCGATATGGTGTCCATTCGGACGGCCGTATCACGGCAGGTCCGCGGGGCCCGCCGCAGACGGAGGCAGGCCGCCGACCCGCCGCGGCCGCCCGACGCCGGCCAACTCGGCCCAAACGACCACTGTTGAGAGGCAGCGCGCCTCGGCGGCTCGGCCGACCAACAATGAGGCCATGTCGGCGTTCATTTCGCGAATCGTGTTACGGTGCTCTGATTAGCATAGTGGGCTGAACAGCTGTCTGGGAGCCGGTTAAAATTCTGGCGGCGCGCATCCTATGAAAATAAATAACGAAAGTGGGTGGCTGGCCGGCTAGCATTGAATCTATTCGGTTTGGGCATCCGTCGGTGTTTACGCTTTGAGTGGGAGCTTAGTTCAGCTGCTGGCAGTGGACTTGCAGGGGGTAAAGTCAGACTAATCATTACTGACTCCCGCGCTACAAGATGTTCTGTTTCATCTCAACGGTCGCGTTTGTTTGCATTGTAGAATATCACACACAAGTTTGGTCTCCGAACTTTTATGTGGCATAAAATCAGTGTAAACTCGATGAACGGGCTCGTTTCGTCCATGGTATTTGATGCTCAAATATCTGTAAACCTGCGGGCTGAGTTGGCCAAAGTTAGTGCCCGGTTCCCGATCGGACTCTGTGATAGGTCAGCGATATAACTCAGGAAAAGATCACCGACCTGTTCTCATGGTAAGAGGTCGAGAGGTTACTGCCCCAGCTGAATCTCAATGCATTTGGACGGCAGGTACTGACGGCGTCTCACAGCCTACGCAAAGTTAGCTTGCTGAAGAAATTTCAGGTCTGGCTAGTGCAGCATAAGGACTACTAGTGAGGTCAGGTCAGGCTGGGTAATGCTGAGTCACACCATAAACGTCACATTATCAGGTCAGGCTCATGACATCAGGTCATTTCATGTCATGCTTGGTGATGTCATGTTAGGTCAGACTGGGTCAGTTCCAAAAATTTGCTGTAATGGCGCCAGCACCACTAGGAACTTTCTAACCCGTCGCAATTCAATAGAAATCGACAGAAGCTCAGAGTACTAAATCATTAAAATCGACTTAAGTGTTCCTTTCACTGCCGAATAGATAGACGATCTAATGTGGGGAGATAATGACAATCGCTGCTAACCGATGCAAGATAACCACCCGCGCCCGTATTTTTGGACCAGCGTACTCGGAAAGTTTGCCCCCATTGACTACTTATCGGAAATCGATAGGGAGGCGGGCAGCGGTGTCCCTCTCAGTGCTGCCCCAGTCCAGAGATAGGGGTTCGCCGCACACAGCTGGGACAGGGCTGTGCCGGGAGGGTCAGTCCAGTGGTCCTGACTCAGGGCATCACCCTGGGTCCATCACCTCCCCCTCCCCTCCCACCCCGCGAGTTAGCCGGCCAGATAGCCCCTTCCCACAGAGGGCGAATGGCGTGGAAACGAAAATCCGCCGACATCGGACCTTCCAGTCTGCTGACCGATCATACAATGACTGCTGCACCAGCAGCGGTCCACGCTGTCAGCGCCGACTCCGTGGAACAGAACACCGGGTTCAGCTGACAAAATTGGGCGTTTGTGCAATAGTCGTTGCATTTAAGAGTGGGGCTTCAGTAGCACGCTCCCCTTGGAGTATGTTAATGTCTGATATCCAGGCCACGCCTAGTTTGATGTAGCGTCTGAAAACTTTACGCATCACTTAGTCTAACTTTGTGAAATTTGTTCTGTGTTTAGACCGTGCGTTCTCTCAGAAAATCTATAGAATGGAGGGAGCAGCGAAGCTGCGATCGCTTTCTGAGACGAGGCCAATAAACGAAGAAAAAAAAGGCATTTTTTAACTTCTGGCGATCGTTCAACCCCATCAGCCAATTTACCCCGTTTTTATCAGCGACGGTCTCAATCAGTCGGGAGCTATCACCGTCTGGCTCATTTCTGTCAGAGACAAAGCGAGTCGGCTAAGGACGATATTCACCATATATTGGGCCGATATCCAGCCTAATACAGCCGTCAAAGGCGCCGCTAACCAATAGCACAATCCCAATCGGTGATCGCTCCATTTGACATGCTCCGGACGTCGCCCTGACGCTGAATGGAGACCGACTTGCGATTCCGGCGCGGTCGCGCCATCAATTTCGTTTGGGACGGTTCGCAGACGCAGGACCAAGGCCTGCCGAGCTGAAAATGTGTCCCGGGGCGGCCCGGTGCGACGTTTGGGGCCCACCGGGCCGGCATAGATGTAACGGTAATTTTGCGCGACAGTTCACAATGCTGTGCGTTCGTGTGAGATCCAAGAATCAGATGCGGCTCGGACCGGGGGTGGTATGTGCATTGTGCAGCCTCCAGGTGAGACTTAGGGCCGGTGACAGTCCCAATCGAAAGATCGCTAGATCGGGCTGCCTGCTCATCCCAAACCGGCGACCATTACGTAGCGTTAGCGTCATTTGAGGATCGCCGTGAGACTACTGACCTGGAAGGAGGGGTCGCAGGGGCCGCCCTGGCCCGGCTCCAGTACGCTGACAGTCAGATCAGACTCGATACCACCGCGATTATTCAGCATACACGTGTACACTGAAACAGGAGGGCACCATCAAAACACGCAGACAGGCGCACCATCATCGGCTTTCAATAAAACAACACAAGAGCAATATCCCAGCACTTGCAAGGGACTACAAAATACATACATAAATAGTACCCAGGTAATAACTTCAGGGCACCGAGAAACAGCGCAATCACTATCGCAATCGTTCATAGTTTCATTTATAATCATAGGGAAGGCTTTTATCAGAAGGCTTACAGCAATGCTGTTTACACACCAAATGCAAACGGGTCGCTAATAGCAGAGTTTCCGGGGGATTCGATAAGCAATATCAAGCTTTATTGTAATTCCAGAGACGATTGTTTAGCTTTAGCGCGCTAACATTAGACTACGGCTGACTGGTGGTCGCTAGTTCCTTGTATACAGCGATTCACGTAATTCCTCCTCTAAGACCGGCCTTGCCGAGGCCCCCCTAAGTGTGTGGGGTCGAGGCATGTGGTATAATCCACTGCGGGAAGTGGTCGCTAGTTTTTGTCGCAGTTCACAAATATCTGTGCGAGCAGTTCAGTTACGACATTTATGGACGGCTATGGTCAGAATCTATCGACAGCAACGCATCAACTGAATCCTGCGTCTTCTTACGTTTTTTATACCACATCGCCTAGTAAAGACGAGCTAGCTATACCTCAAACGAGTTCAAAGAGAACTCTGGCCGCCGGCCGGTGATTCATACAATGCCGATGAAGAGCTTGACAAACGCATGCTTTATCTTTACTCTGTATAAGTGTTGGTCAAAATCTCTTAATTTCCATTACAATTAATTCCGCAATAAGCAATTCTTAAGAGAAACTCGCACATTTGTATCACACAGGCCATTCATTTCCTAATCCACAGAGTCACAGTCATCCATCCAGCGTCTCCGCGCGATTTCGGTCATCACCCGACCGGCAGATTAGGAGGCCGGAAGCTCTCCACGCGATCGGCGCCCCGAACTACCGGGCCATGATCGCAGATCGGCGGCTGGTCCGTCGGAGACCGGCGCCTAATCAAGCGCCCAGATAACGGGAGCGGGTCGACGGCCGTCGGTGACAGTCCCTGGCGGCTGTCAGTGACCACGCTCCGAACCGACACACTCTGGCACATGTGATACCACGCGGTATTACATGACGCACACGGTACTTTGTGACTTTGCTGACTTGGGTTGTAATTATAATATTTCATTGTAGTGTATTGCGTCTGGAACAAAACAGAACACGCCGAACTATTTTACTCCGAAAACAGCTCGAATAAAAACAGTTCGGCATTCTATCGGAATGGTTCTATACGAATATTTCATTAGCTGGTGACAAACAATGACGCGTTACATAAGTTTGTTTTCAGTTTATTCTACCACGCGGGTTGAAGAGGGGGAAATTCGACTTTACATATGAAGTTGACGGAACTCACCCTAGGTTTCACACCAGCCAGTGCCATCGACTCACCGACGGAGCCCTCTGGCTTCTGCAGGTCGTTGGAGAAGATCCAGTCGACGGCCGCCTGCGCGTCCGGCCCCGTCACGTAGTACTTGGCGAAGTAGCTCATGTTGAAGATCGCCGCCGTGGTGCGACATGCCAGACTCTCGTCACGGATCTGCGGACGGACGGGGAGGTTACGCTAAAAATTACAGATGAGTTTAACAATAAACGGGTAAGTGAGGTCAGTTAATGCCAGGTCGGACTAGGCCAGGAAGATAGGTGGTATAAGATGAAAGCAGGAAATGAGACACGGTACTTCCACACATCTTCTAAGTGGTATTAGCAGGATACTTCCCCAGCATTGTCTACCGAAGTCCGGTTACCAGACGGTGTTCGGTGCCAGTCTGCACGACGACCCGGGCACTCCATCCTCCCCTCCCACTTCTCCGGCCGTGCTCCCCTCTCACCACGCTGTGGTGCGGCGGGAAGTCGAACGAGTACTCCTTCTTCAGGTTGTCGGCGTAGACGTGGTTTTCGTGGACGGGTGTGTCATACGCGCCGTACCAGTCGTACGGCAGTGCCGGCGCCGGGCCTGACTGCAGGCAGAACCAGCCGGGCCGCTCCCAGCCCTGCCGCTCCTGGTACTGGCAGCCCTGCTCCAGCAGCTCCTGAGGAGCGCCAGGTCAGGTCAGGTTAGGTCACAGAGCAAGTAACACAGGCCGACAGCCAGCGGCTCCACTGTATGTGGGTGGGCGCCCTGGCTTCCCCATGGATGGGGGAGGGACGGAGGGAGGGTCGGCCAGTCCCCGCCACTCCCGGGGGCTTTGTGAGCAGCCACTCATGATCAATGGACGCCGGAAACGCGGCACAGATTGGCGGCGAGAGGGCCGGCTCGCAGACACGGACACTGACGGACAGACCCTGACGGACGGCCAGATAAAACACAGCCTGCAGGACGGGGAGCAGGCGGGCCTGGACAGGTCAGACCAGTTCAGACAGACAGACGGACGGACGGACGGACGGACAGCCAGACAGCCAGCCAGCCAGCCAGCGAGACAGACAGACAGACAGACAGACAGACAGACAGGAAAGTGCAGAACAGACCTGGTTAGATACACAGTTGTCGACTAGACCAGACAAGAGACCTTTGCTAAGATACAAGTCTTTTATGCACTTGATCATTTCTGTTGAGAATTTGGTTAAAAAAAAAAACAACATGATATAGGATGCGTAATGCGTAATGAAAGGTAGGTACTTACTACTTACCTACCTATCCTATCGGCCTTCAGCGATAATACGCCATAACGATGTAAGGGGACGGCAGCGTCTAATTAATTCTAGCGGGACGGGGATAATCTAATGAACGCAGTATATGAGCGTCGTGAACGTTAGCAGATTATAGTTATATTTTTGTGAGCCATGCAAGTGGTATTCTTAGGCACAGTACGGACGTTTAAAGATACTTTGCTTCTTCCAGCTCTGAACGAACGGCGATTTAAGTTTTTATTTATTTATTTATTTATTCAGGCCTCCCTCCTACGGGCACTTGTGGCCCATTTACAGGAGGGCTCCTCCTCCTCCTGGCCCTTGTTCCCCCACCCCCCAGGCTACGGCTGAAGTGGGAGCCTACCCCACACCTGGTGACACAGCCGGGGACGACGCCCGCGGAACGGGCGGAACCGGGAATCGAACCCGGCACCGCCCGCACCGCGGGTCGACGCCTTAACCGACTGCGCCACCAGGGCCGTTTCTTCTTTTGTAATATTGTCATCCGATTCTGATTCCATATTCCGTATATACGTGTATCATATTGTGGCTGTGAGAGATGGCCGCTGTTCTAAGTTTAGCAATTCAACAAAAACGTGCTTATCTAGCTTTCTACTAAGCTGCAGTAACTTGGCCAAAGCTCTATGGGATAATGAAGGCAGTTTGGCTCCCGCAATAACTTGACATTTGTCAGACTTCAATGCACGTGTAGAATGCAGGGGGAGGCACTCGCCTTGGCCGTATATGGGCCAGAATGTCTAACGATTTCCGCCATGTTGTGTATACCAAAGTCTTGAAAAGTTGATCACTGCAATCAAACTGCAAGCATGAAGCAGCAGCACTTTTGAGTAGTGTACCTCTCACTAAACTGCACCTCTGCTACCGTACATGCAATTTATATTTCTGGTATACACAACATGGCGGAAATCGATAGACAAAAACAAGTCACCAATGCTCCTTCCAGTATATATTAGAGTTCAGTGGTAGAATGCCACAAAGTTACATATACTTGGTCGTTCATTGTTTTAAGCTATTCGATGGTGATGAACATTGGTTTGTGGCATTTTGTTACATGCTGGAGAAATAATCCATTATCTAATCATTCACAGTTTGGCCTCAATACGCCTGGAACGTTTGAGAAACTGTAGATACTGGGATGAACACATAATTACATGAAACATATCATTTAGTTTTATTAATACAAGGTTGAACTGGTTACAAAATTTAAATAGCGGATGCAGATGTCATTAATCCAAAAATATCAGCGAATGTCGTGAGACTGCCATCTCTGAAGTGGCCCTGAGCTCATTTATCATTGAAGTTTTTCCCATTGACCTATAATAAGTATAGACGAACTACTCGCGTCTTTGCGGCGTTCCTCGTCGACCAAAGAAGCAAATTGTTTTCTGAAATTACAGCGCAGGATAAGGGCAATCCTAACCTTTAAGCACGGACGTAGAAATAAAAGTTTGTTAAATATTTAACGTTAATTTATTTTAAAATGTGTATCAGAACGTTAACATTTACTACAAAACATTTATTTAAACGTTTAAGGTTTGAAGTCAAGCCTCACGAAATCGTCTCCATGGTAACGGAATAAACAAAGTCCTCGGCATCATTTATTGTTGCCGCATTGCAAATTCCGTAAGGTGTGTTGACAGTCCTGTGCATATTAAACAAGAAAAGATAGTTTGTCACCAATAAAGAGCACAAAACAAATATCAAGCACATATTGCACGTGATATGTGAATCATTTCAAGGCGATAAAATTGACTTATGATGTTATTACATGGCTTGATTACAGCAAGCATTTCAAGCAGTGTGATCTGAGATTTTTGGTATTTATGTAATTAAAGCATTTTATTTCATTTTCTTTAAATTTATCCTGTTTATCTGCTAGATCAGTCAGACACTGATAATTTTATCATAATGGCTAGAGTCAAGAGAAGAAAAAAAAACTGAAAGACACTTGCAATCTTAACAAATGTCATAAGAAACGGTTTGGAAGAGGTCTACCCAAGGTCTACCTAAGAAGGCACAGGCCTATGTTCTTGTTGCTGGAAGGCTTCTGATGTGTGCTGAAATTCATCTGCCAACTGAACCAGACATAGCCCGACTTATGGCCAACATATAAAGTAAAAAAGATTGAAGAACTTAAGTTGTAAGTTGCTACTGCAATTAAACACGATGGAGGCTGGAGCCGTCAAGAAAACTGAATGGAAGCTCAGCAAGACGGCAACAGTCGAAATACCTACCAAGTGTGACCTGCTAATGACTGGCTTAATTATTTCTTGCGTGTCTCAACATAAGTGCTCAAGAGCAGAAGGCCCCTCATTTAGGTACTTGTGTGTGCGCTGATTTGTGGAACGTTGTTAAAATCGAAAACCAGAATTCGTGAACTTTTGGTGATCACCAGTGACCTTTAGCGATGACCTGATTGAAAAATTGTCAAGATGATTCTTTAAGTTCTTATAGCGAGCTACCTACTGCCCTTTCCGCATCTTTCTATCTTTCTTCCTTTGCGAGATAATATGGCGTTGACAAATACGTCCCCCCTCCTCCCATCACTATGGCGGAGTTGGCTGAAAGGCCCACCCGGACGCGGGTTAAAGAGGCTCATGGGTGAATAAAATGATGTATCATTATGTGCACTCAGATTGGTATGAGTATATCGCCACTCATCCTACAGTCTCTACTACCATGAACATTATTTTTATGTCTTCATATGCTTTGACGATGCTTTGATGATGTCATGAATGTTACTGCTGAGCTTCATCTTAAATACACATTACACAATACATAATGTTAAATCAACTAACAACCTGTATTAATCGAATTCGCAATCATGAAGAGAAACGCGCATGAGACCTGCAAAACTACGTGATTGTGAAGCTCCTTTAACGGATCTAGAAATGATGATTCTGAGCGCAATGGCAAAGCCGCTCATTGAGATGTGAAAGTGGCCCCACTCGGAAGAGTCGGTCGCTACCGGTGTACCAAATTTGAGCGCAATCTCCCCAGCCGTTCTCGAGATGTGGAAGCGACCCCTCGCGCGTGCGCACGTGCAAGCTGGACCCAAACTGACTTGTGCACGGCACCCTGCCAAACGGTCCCTAACGAAGTACCAAATTTGAGCGCAATCGGCCTAGCCGTTCTCGAGATCTGGAAGCGTACCCTGCACGTGCGCACGTGCACCAGCACCCAAACCGTGACACGTGGAAATGCATCATCATTTGCATGCCCAACGACATGCCAAGTTTCAGCTCAATCAACCCAGTCGTTGTAAAGTTATTGTTGATTGAACAAATTTGTCACCACTTAGTTGGCACGTGGCGCGTGCCGTGTCCCTCACCCTATGACTTTGTGCTATGTTCAAGTGATTAAGCTTGGACGCTTCTTCATTGTAGATGCAGTCTCGTTCCGTTCCGTCGTGTCATTTACGCGAAAGAAGTTGATAAACTTTTGCGTTTTTCCCATAGACAAAGCATTGTGTCATTAGTTCGTGCCCTTACACGTACGGTGGCGCTAGTGTCGCTCAGCGGGAACGGCCTTCAGGCGCTGATTAAGCCAGTGTAGTCTGTCTATACTTATTATAGGTCAATGGTTTTTCCCGACTGCGTCAGCGTCAAACTTCACATGGAAAATAGGAATGCTACTGTTTGTAAGGGTTCTGCATTCAACTCAAGTGCTGAAGTTCGGAAGCATTACCTTATATTAGCGTCGCTGATTTCAGATGCACAAGTTCTGAACAGTCGGATTATAAGTTCAATAAAACGTCGCTCGGTATTGATACAGTTCACAACTTGTGGCATCGGCGTGGTAATAACTGCGGAATGGCCGATGCGACTGACACGGGCCGGTGCTATCGGGCGGCATCAATTTGCCAGTGAACCCAGGCGGCAAGTTTCCGGGGCCGGGAGACTCGGATTTCCGTGATCGAGCCAGTCCTATCGCCAGTCACCGCCAGCCGCCGGGCCCTCTGAAGTCGGCCCTGCTGCCGTGGGCGGAAACCGACGGCCTCATCTGATCGCGGGGAGCCGAGAGAGGAGCGGTAGCTACCGGGGAAGGTGTGAGCACCCGCCCGGAGCAGCAGGCAGGGCTTCCGTATTTCGGAAAACGCACCACCATTTCCCCCCGTGTTTCCTTTAGTAGAGCCTCTGGCTTCCAATTGACTGACCTGGTACAGCGGGTCCTTCCTCATGTTCCTGCCCGCCAGTGGCTCGTCGTGTGGGAACACCATCGCGTAGTTCTTGGCGTACGCCTCGTGGCTTCGTGCTGTGGTCCACTCCTTGTTAGCAGACAGCTCTGGATTGAAGCGCCTGTAAAGGATAGCGAAGTAAGTATCAATGATTTGGGGCACTTGAGCAGGGCTGTTACATTGAAACTAATGCTTGCTATGCAGAAATACCGCTCGTTGTGCAGGTGCGCTGCGCGTTGCCCACCACTCTGTGATGGATAGCAAATTTTTGAGGCCAGGGTATGTTTGTTTTGCAACAACCCGTTGCCGTTTTGTTGCCAGGGCTGGGCCGGCCGTTTGTCGCTTTGTTGCCAGCTTTCAGCCAGCAACGGCCCCGGGATTCGGCACCAACTGCCATTTGTTAGCCGCGCGCTCATCAGGATGCATCCGTGATTGGTAACATGTTCATATCATGCAGATGAGATCGTACATAAACAGTAACGACACCGGGCGCCCGATCGGCCGCCAGCCCCGCCATCGGCCGTCGGGGCTGCAGCTAATGGCATGTACTTCATTAGAACAGCCTGGACATTATTCAGCAATATTGCAATGGTATAGAGAGCTGGAATCAAAATATACAAATCAGCTTAGGGGATTGAGATACCAAATGATATCCAACCTTTCAATTGCATTACCTATTAAAGGACATAGGTAGCTTCTCTCCAGCTGTGACTCTATTCCTGATATTGTATTGTTTACACTTGGCCTCAATGTCTCGAATAATACGTAAGTAGGTGAATGATGACCTAAAAGTGACACAGCTAAGAAGTCTTATCATAGACGGGTGTTTGGTCGAGCACTCATACACACTTAGCACTCATGCACTTGGTTGGAGTATACGTGGATCAATATCACAACGCACGGCAGGTTTTAGAATGAATACAAGACTAGCGTGCGTTGGCGTTGTTCACACAACTCGTCTTGACCGAGCCTTGGATACAGAGAGGAATAGTGACAGTAGTGGATCGCTGAAGGCAGTGGGCCCAAAGCACACCCGTTTGTAATTGGAGGGCAGGCGGCTACACCCGGGGGAGTTGGCGACTGAATTGGGTCCGCAGCGGCAGCCCATCCAGCACGGTGTACTAGGACGGAGCGACGAGTGACGCCCGGTCACAGAGCGTCCGCTCAAGGTTCCGGACGACCGGCGCGGGTGGATCAGTTAGACTAAGGACTCAGAAGGGAGTGGGGCCAACCATCGACAGTTATTGGTGGACCAGAGGACAGGTGTCATGTCCATGGGAATCCATTAATAAGTAAGAACGCCGTCAGATTCAGCCTGATTTTGGCAAGAAAGGCGACCTGCCACAGCGCTGTAAATTCGTCACCGCAAAACAACCTGCCCGCCGCTTTTCAATCTCTTGCAGCTATTAGCTCGCGCAGGCAGCGTGAATGCAGGGAGCTTCCCCGTCCCTCGCCTCTTCTCCCCGATCCCCAAGCCCCAAGTCAATACAAGACTACCAGCCGGCCCAGCCGTTGCAAGGTAAATATTGAAACACGTAGTTCGCGGCCCATTTGAATTTACTACATTTGGAGCGTGTTTGTTGCTAATTTTAAGCACAGCTTCTGGACGCACCCATTTGAATGCATGAAAGCGACTGAATGTGGTCATTCTCTCAGCTTACGTGACGTCACCGCTGTCGTTATTTTGGAGGGGAGTCTGACGGGCGGAAATAGCTCGCGATATCTTCTGCAGATGGACTTCCCGTGTAGGCGGTTAGTCCAAAGTGTCCGCCGGCCACGGGCGTCATGCGAGCGCGGGCTCCAGTCCAGTCGGCCACCACAGTCATGGAGCTGGGGTTGGGGGGCCTACGCCCTACATAGAACACTCGGCTATATATCTGCGGCCCAGTATCCAGCAGCACAGCGCGTTACATCAGTGTAGTCCCGGACCGCGAAGCAGCCGGAACTTAGGTGTCCCGTCCGCGAGTCTGACTGCTGTGAGCTCCGAGAGCTTCCCGTGTTGCTGCCACCATCGGTGATGGCGCTTCTTAGCTCAGTATGTGACTCAACTCATCTGCACAAAGTAAAAAAAGACACAAAGTGGACTGACGATGGAAAAGAGCTACACTCTTCCTTTCGGTAGCAATACGCATACAACAACTCGGCATTTAGATCGGGCCCTTGACCTGCACCTACATATATGCAAGAGAAAATACTCGCAGATCTATACCTACTAAGCCCTAGTTCTAATGAAACCACTTTCTCCATACAATACCACATGGTATATTTAGCCTAATATGGATCGTGTCCCAGCTGTTGTTGCTGTTGTTAAAGCTGACCTCTGTTACCGGTTCCGGCGCGGTGGTCGGCAGATTTTACCAGCCGGTCGGTCGATCGGGCCCGGCAGACTGTCACGGCGCTGAATGTGCTGTAATTTGGAGCCGTCCTCGCCAGTTCCGGGCCGTCTCCGGGCCGGCTGAGCCGCCAGCCACGGCCCGGTCGATCGGACCATTTCGCTATTTAATTTCTGTGACAAATTGCTGACACTATCTAAACAGAATTGTGTCTGCCAAAAGAAGCGGCGCCCACTCGTGCGCGCCGGTGAGGCAAATTCTAATCGCCAACGAGATCGCCGCGAACTTCGTCAGTTAGGGGCGCCTGATTGCATTTTGCTCGCCCGTTGAGTGCTGCGGTATTTCCACTTGGCTGAAATGTAGAACAAAAACTATTTCCGATGTCAGCGCGGTCCGCGGGCAGGCAAGAGCCAGCGAACGCCTGTTTTTCTCCGTTCTTTGCATTTTCTGCAGTCACATCGCTTCCAACAAAATGAAAAGAGAGCCTGCAATAATAAATTTATAGATGTATGAACCGTCTTTATGGAAAAGTTATGTGTCCCCTGCGCTAGTATTTCCTTATAAGATGACAGAGCGAGACAGAGCTGGGAGAACATAGACCAGCTCTGCTCTGTCCCGGCGCTGTCGGACGAACCGCGGCCGGTGAATGATTTCCCAGCAGGCTCAGCCACAGCGCGCTGTTCACCGGTCAAATGACTGACGCCAACCATCAGTGACCGGATAGTTCAACTTCAGGAAAAGACGAGCCGAGAAAGGTGAATGCACTGAGGATCGAGAAGCGAGGTGACAAATTCTGCAGTTTCCAGAAGATTCAATAGCCAATCCGTCAGTTTTCAGAATAAGGTAGGTGCCCCGATCGATTTGTAAGGTGACCTTCGAGATTTTCCATCCAAGGTCACAAAAAGACAAGGCGATGGTAACAATAAATGCAAGGTGCTAGCGAAATCGAAATCAAGGTCGAAGTCGAGGTCGTATTGAAGTTCGAAAGCGCACGCAGGGTAAAGGGCGAGGGTGTTGACAAGAAGACGAATTTGAGATCCATGAAGCATGCGAGGTGAATTTGGAGGTCGATGGTGATGGCGAGGGCGCGGGCAGGAAGCTGGCGACGGCGAGGGCTCGCGGGCGGCGCGTGAGATCAGAGTTCAGGCCCATCACCGTAACGCCGCTGCACCCAATTACGGCGCGACCGTGAGTCAGCCGCGCCGGAATAGACACTCGGTCCGGCCGGAACACACACGGGAAATGAGCCTCTATCGGCCATCGTGAGCCGGTCCGCTCCCGCAGCGCCAAGCTGCCCGCTGACACGCCTTCTGGGTCTTTCCGCTTAAACGCCAGATTTGAGCGAATAGGGTGTTTGAATGGTAAATAGCAGTGATGTCAGGCTTTTTGTTTAAATACAGATTATCAGAGTTATAAGTTACAGTCACACAAATCATTATCTTATCGTATTTGTTCTCGAGTACTTGTCTCATATGACATTCAGCTGCAAGCACTTACAATATTTAACCCTATTAGTGGCAGGCTCCTGGCTACCCCTATTAGTGGCAGGGGGGCTGTTTACGACCCCCCTTGATATCTCGAGATCTAACGGGCCGATTTTCAAAATTCAAACGGCATTCGATTTTGCTCAACGTGATCTACATTTCTAAAAAATAAAAATTAAAAATGTCAATAGGGGGGTAGAGGGGGGTAAAAACGGGCAAATTGCAGATACATTTTAGACTGTTTATCACGGCCAGGTTTCTGAACCAATCTTAACGCAACTTTTGCCGATCGATAGAGAATGAACCAGGAATTCACATGTATCCTAAAAATATGCATTTTCAAAAATCATAGGCGGATACAGATCATTGAGATTGGGGGTACACAAAAAGTATAGTAAATAAGGTTTTTGTTGGTACTGTTTCTAAAAAGGGTGGTAATGGTCTTGTTATGTTACAATTTTCTTATGAGAGAACGACTACAATTGTATTGGTCATGCATAGGCGGTGTCAGGGCACCTATGTTGGGAGGTAAAACATAACCCCCCTTTTTGGACGCCTGGATCCGCCTATTATAGCAAAAACGTGTCAAAAGAGGATGCACAATAACTGTATATGTTATCACATGATACCTTTCATTCACTGTTCGTAAAACTGGTGCAGCATCGTGATCTTCGCCCAAATGACTCGCTTCGCGAATAGGACCCCCCAATTCCCAGTGCTCTGGAGCCGCCCCTGGTAAAGTTATGAACTTGAAATTTTCAGGGAATGTGCCCAATTTAGTTTTAGGAAAAGTCAGAAAATTTCAGCATCGTAGCTTCAGCGGTTTCGGAGATATTCCCGAAAAACCTGAGGGGTGGATAAAAACAACCCCCCCTGCCACTAATAGGGTTAAAGTGACATAGGTACGAAATAAAAAAATGAATAAGGACGCTTTGACAGCTCACGTATAAAATGCTTCCCGAACACCTATCAACCTTCCAACCGGTTGAGCTCGCGACTCGCAGTCGGGGCCATGATATATGAGTCTGAGTTCGGCATTCGGCTATGCATAGATCGCGCCCGGTCCCGCCGCGAGGTCCCAGGGGCCGTATTCACGTCGACTTCGTAAGTCGATTTTCTTTCATAAGTATAATTTGGTATTCACGTCGACACTTCGTAAGTTTTTATCGACGGAGTTCACGTGATTAAAAAAATTTACTTAAGAAGTAGGTCAAACTTAAGAAAATTCTTACGAAAATGATCGACGTGAATACGGCCCCAGCACCTGCCGGTCGTTGATCAGCCGGAAGTCGGTCCGAATGGGGGCGGAGGCGACGGTGCGGCGCCGGCGACGACGGCAGTGCGTCATCGCGACACGCCATTGAAAGTCAGGCGGCTTCAGTTAGTGTATGCCGCCGAATCCGGAATGAGCTGACCCTGCATCGACCGGCTTAGTGGGACCCGGCACTCAGCAGACATATGCATGCATACCAGAATCACACTAAATGTAGCCCACCACCCGACAATGAGCCCGGCAAGTCAAATATTTGCCAGCTTTTGTAGGCTTGGGGTAAAGGTTGGTCGGGAATGACTCAATCGGAAACAAACACCTCTTGCCCTTTTCCGACCTAAAATGGTCAGCGAGCCAATAGCCATCATTGATGAGCTAGTTAGGATGACATGGATGCCCCACCCACTCCATGTTTAATCTGATGACCAGTCGTACTATTCCAGGGGAGACGTCTGATCAGTTCCATTTCCCAGGTCTGGCTTGAAGGCCTCCCTCTTCCCAGGTCTGACTTGATTCCCTCGCAACTGACCTGACAATCCCCTTCTCTCTCTCTCTCTCTCTCTCTCTCTCTCTCTCTCTCTCTCTCTCTCTCTCTCTCTCTCTCTCTCTCTCTCTCTCTCTCTCTCTCTCTCTCTCTCTCTCTCTCTCTCTCCCTCTCCCTCCCTAAATCGACCTGCTGACGTTATCGCCCCCGGACTGACCTGATGATTCCCTCTTCTCCCACACCACCTAATGACTTCCTCTCTCAGGGACTGACCTGATGACCTCCTCTCCTCTCGGAACTGACCTGATGTCGAAGCCGTACATGTCGAGCGAGGGCCGTCCGTTGACGATCCACTCTGCCGTCTGCCATCCACAGCCGGCACCCAGCATCATGCCGCTCGAGTTGAAACCGCAGTTGTGGTAAAAGCCGCGCACCCGAGGGTCCTCGCCTGAGGCGCACACCGGAACGAGGCGTCAACACTATGACAGATGCAGATCATTATACGACACTTTGTAGTTTGTTGTTATGCCAAAACAACGGATGTGGGAGGTAGCCTAGCAGGATTGGGACCTCATTGATATAGCTGCAGCAGCGATATGTTACTGTCATATAGTCAGATCCTTCCATTCAATCTTTCATTCAAATACAGAGGAAGATGACATTGTACTCGATGAATTGAAATGCTGATGTCAAGCGGTGACTGGCGAGAAATTTCACCATTCACAACGTTATTGATGGCTGAATGCAAATTGTACTCGATCAAGCCTTTGTTATATTTGTGGGTAGACAAGAGTGAAGAATAGCTATGGTATAACGAAAACAACCCTGACTCGTGAATCCCGTGAAATTAATATAAGTACATTCACAACCCCATCTGTTGCGCTGGGAAGCTATTAGCGCCAGCAAAGTTTGCTATTTGATCATAACTACCTTTTGGCTCGCGATTCAGAACTCCTTGCGGCTTAGAGCCGTCATCAATCGGGAACCATTTTGCTTGTATGATTGACTCATCTTCAGCTGTTAGCATGATTAAAGGCAGCAGGTGTTCGCAGTTCGTGGTCATTTACTTTATTTATTAAAGGTAGTGTGCCAGCTTTCTTGGACCGTATGGAGTTAATGGCCCAGATAAGGAGAACCGGATTTTTAGAACTTATCCATACCTTCAAAACTCATGGAAACGTCTTAAATTCTTCAAATTTTGAGTACCCCAGTGCGAAATTCGCCCCGACGGGTTGTCGGTCGTACCCCAACCACATTTCACACCACTATGAACAATAAATGCACACACTGAAATCGCTATTACCGATATGCTCATCCAATCAAGTTTCGATAAACCCGTTCATCATCATCTCCTGCGGTTTCGAACACGCCTGTTAGGTGGCTTCTGATGCTCGTCGAGGTCGGAATTTCCAAATACGCGTGGTGCGTCGGGCCGCGCGCTCTGACTTCGGCCAAGAAAAATGCGTCAGCTGATCATTGTCATTTCTGCCACTTGCGTGTGGTGAAATGGGGTCATAACTTATAAGACGGCTTTTTCATATCAATTATTTTACATAAAATCATATTTCAAACCATAAATAATGTTCGACAGCCAAATAAAAGAAACAATACCAATACGGGCTTACAGTTTAAGGCTCGACATTGTGTTGTCTACGATTAGACAGCTGATAACTCATTCCCGTACGTCGTATGGTCGTAACACTATAATGACCTTTGCTTATTGTCACAAGTGCGCCGCATTCGCGATTGTTGCCCGACGCCTGTTTGCAGGTGAGCCCACTACAGTTGTTATACATATCTAAAAACCGAAAAACTTTTAGGCGAAAAAGGCACTATTCCAGGCCCATTTTTGATTTTTTTTTGCGATATTATGTAAAAACAGAAGCTTCTTATTCTAGGAAAAATAAAATGGGAAATCTTTCAAAGGTGGCACACTACCTTTAAGTAACTGCATATTGAATATTTTTCCTGTCCTTCAGCATAGCATAAATCCGGTATATGTAAAGTAAGTTCGGAGGAGGTTTCTGTCGTTGACATTTCACCGTTTCTGCGTTTAATAAGCTGCGCTTGTTGCTGTATATATCGGCCAGGTGTCGGGGCGACGCCCAGTGAAGTGTGGCGCGGCTATCACCGGCGCGGTGGATCGGACCCGGGTGACCCGGCCGGCGCTGACCTTTGACGTCCGGTGGGGGGGGGGGGGGGCACTCCGGCCGGTCACTCAGCGGTCCGGCTGCGTTCGTAGAAGTGCCGTGTAGTTATATTATTGCCGTCCGAGTGCTGCAGCGCCACTGCCCCCCCCCCCCCCGGCCCGCGACGGAGCAGAGAGCGACTGCTGACTGCTGAGTGGCTCGAGTGTTCGCCATGTAGGCTAAAGTACTCAGAGGGTAATCTCTAAATCTGCAGCCCGAGATGGTGAGAGTTTCGACGACGGGACGACGCAGAAAGCGCCGGTTTGAACCGGCGCCGAGCTCAGAGCTGACTGCCGGGATACATCGCACGCACCCATGTGCTGAAAGATAGATGACTAGGCAGCGCTGCGAGCAAGCTGTTGTTATCAGACATTTTGGAAGACAATGTTTATGCTCCTACCAACTTATTGTTGGATAAAAAGGCATTACAAAATAGTGAAGTTAACTTTTATCGCTTTCGTTGTGCAAAAAATCAAGCTATTTTCATTTAACAGCAGCTGCTATGTAATCTTTTATTTTGATTTTAATATTTAATATTGAATAAATACTGACATCAAAGATAACAGATCTGAAGATAAAATGCCATTCAAACTTTCTATAGACATGGTAACTGAAATAGTCGCGGTATCTAACATACTTAATTTTCTTAAGTTTATAAAGCTTATGTAACACAAATATTACAATGCTGTGGACTCAGCCACACTGAACTTTGATGTAGAAATAATACATCAGTCACCGTACTGTTTGTGAGTTATATTCGGGATGCTGGTGAGGCATCAAAGTTTTGTGTGTTTACGTAAGGATTTGCTAGCCGAGAACTCTGAAAGCAGACAGTCAGGGTGGCAGATGGGATGGGAACGAGGTTATGTCGGTCTACAAGCCCCAAAGTCTCATGATATTCGCCTGGCCGAGTTTTACACAAATTACAAAACGTCTGATCCTCGACATCGGGACGTAGTCACATGTGTAACCGAAATCTTTTTTCACTTCACCACAAACAGACCTTGAATGAATAAAACTTTGATTTTGGACTCTTTGAGATTCAAAGACGATGTACCCACAACAATGTATCACTATATTTGATAGGTAGTTGCTTGATCATGTTTGATGCTACTTGCCATAAGGTACACGGAATATTTTGCCGCGATTATCTACACTCCCCACGCTTCCATAATTGAATAATTCTGCCTCATTACACTTGTGAGGCCGTCCAACTTCCAGTTTATCAAGACTGACGTAACCCGGTTCTCACCGGAATTTCTACCGAAAACGCCCCGCTGCGTCTCGCTTACTTAGTCCAGCTGCATCTCATATATCCAGCCACATCCAGTTTTACCCGCCCGGTCCCACCACATCCGTCTCCGGCTTTTTTCAGCTATCACAGCCCAGTCCCATTGGGCTCATTCCGTTCTTGTCCCATCACCTCCAACCTGCGCTGTCCCATCGCCTCCGCCCTGCCCAGTCCCATGACCTCTGCCCCGGCCGTGTCCCATGATCTCCACCCTGTCCCCGTCACATCGTCTCCACTCCGGTCCCGTCCCATCGCCTCCACCCTGCCCTGTCCCATCACCCCGTCCCGGTCCCACCGGCCCCGCTGCGACTCACCCATGATGGGGTTGTGGTCGGGAGTGAACGACTCGGGGCCGCACACGGTCGACTTGATGCCCGTCTTCTCGAGGGCCGGCAGTCGGTTGATGGCCCCCTCTATGTGGCACATGAACACGTCCCAGTCGAGCTCGAACAGCCCGAACGGAAAGTCGCGGTCCACCTGCGGGGCGTGGGAGTGAGAATTGAGAGACATGAGGAACGTGAGAAGCGGTGAGAGTCGAGATACGTGAGATGCGGGGTGATGAGACGGGGCACATACTGCACAGTGCAGTCACCGAGTAAAGAGTATGTCCTATATTTCGGCATCACGCTTTGATAAGTTAGCAATTAGTTTTGCGTTACATGCATCGAGTCGTCACTCAACGTGTCGAGGAATGCCCCCGAGGATTGCCTATCAGTCAGGAATAGCTTGCATCCGTCTTGCAGCCGTCACCCATTAGCTTTTTACCCACGACTCTTCTAGCTTTTAAAGGGAAAGCCGTCTCGTACTCCGGTCGTGCGGAGCCATTTTTATCTGTCCGTTTTGTGCGGCCGTCCGCGCCGTCCCGGTGCGCTGAGCCATGTGTCGCAGACGGGCTCCATCTCCGTGTCGCAGACGGCTTCAGCTCCGTGTCGCAGACGGCTCCAGCTCCGTGTCCAGACGGCTCCCTCTCTGTGTCCAGACGGCTCCATCTCCGTGTCCAGACGGCTCCCTCTCTGTGTCCAGACGGCTCCAGCTCCGTGTCCAGACGGCTCCCTCTCTGTGTCCAGACGGCTCCATCTCCGTGTCGCAGACGGCTTCAGCTCCGTGTCGCAGACGGGCTCCATCTCCGTGTCGCAGACGGCTCCATCTCCGTGTCGCAGACGGCTCCAGCTCCGTGTCCAGACGGCTCCCTCTCTGTGTCCAGACGGCTCCATCTCCGTGTCCAGACGGCTCCCTCTCTGTGTCCAGACGGCTCCATCTCCGTGTCCAGACGGCTCCATCGCCGTGTCCTTTCCGTCGGATCTGACACCGCCGATGGACCGGGGTCCCGGGGGACTCGGACAACAAATTGCGTCCAGCCGTGGCCGGCGGCGGCCGGGCGACGGCCCAGAGACGGCCGTTTGTGCACGGCCGCACGCACCGCCCACTCGTCTTCTAGGACCGGGCAGGAACACCCCGGGGAGGGCAGCGGCGTCCACCAGGGTTGTGCTTGACTCAAAAACATTTGCCGACTCGACTCATCATTTAACTTCAGAAAGCCCTGACTCAACTCTGACTCAAACAAGGAGCTGATTTTTTCCCTTGACTCGACTCATGACTCAAGCGGCTCAATGAAAATATGAGTCGACTCAAACTTGACTCAAATTTTTTGTTGAGTCAAGTGAGTTGACTCAAAATTGACTCAGATAAAAAAGTTGTTGAGCGGAGGCGGGGGTGAAAAAAAATCCGGCAGCAGGGCCAGGGAGCGGGAAAAGCCTGTTTTTAGAAAGTTGAGTCAGCTGACTCATGTTCCTAAATGTTTGACTCAACTCAATGTCAAAAGTTATTTTACTGACTCAACTCTGACTCAACTCAACGCCTTAATATTTTTGTCCGACTCAACTCTGACTCAACTCAACAGCTTAACATTTTATCCGACTCGACTCAAATCTGACTCATTTGAGTCAGAGTTGAGTCAAATTCCTGACTCGACTCATGAGTCAAGCACAGCCCTGGGCCGTCCACACTGACAAGCGCCGGTAAAACGTCCACACAGACAGGCGCCGGTAAAACGTTCCACACAGACAGGCGCCAGTTCAGTGCAGTTGGAGGAGTGGTGGGATTGAAATTGCAGGAAACGCCTCCGGCCTTGCTTGGCGCCAAAGCTGTTCACTTCAGCTACGTTTTGTTTCCGAAGTCTGTTTGCAGTTCTTTATGAAAATATGAAGCATTGGTACCTATATTCTCCGAAAATACTCATTAGCTCTCTCCTGAACCTGCGCTTCCTTCGCTAGAGGACAAAACATTTGGACAATCTTAAGGTGAGCGTCATATAAACAGATGCCCTTCAGCCTATACGCTCGGCGCTCCCCAACCCCACCTGATCCATGATGATGGGGTTGTACTCGTAGCCGCCGACGCTGAGTGCGTCGCCCTGTAGTTTGAGATACACCGACGCGTCGTGGTCTCGCACGTTCGGCGTCATCTCGATGCCGGGGATCTTCTCGGTGACGACGTAGGCGTGCTTCATGGCCATCAGCGGTATGTGGATCCCGACCATCTCTGTGATGTAGTTGGCCCACGCGCCTACCGAAAGAGAAGAGGGTCAAAGACGGTGCAGGCTAAAAATGATCTGATCAAGTCATATGAAATCGGAAGCAGCGCGATAATTTCCGTGTAATAAATGAGATTATGCCAGATTACGTATCACCAAGTGATGCGAGGCAAACAAAGAGATTGATGACGTCCGTTCCAAAAGTCTGACAGCTGTCAAAAGCGGACCGTGATTGCAGGCCGTGAGGTCAGAAATTGGATCAAACGATTGAAGTAATCCGGGTGCAGTCAAGAAATCAAGCAATTTGAAGAATCAAATACCGATGTGGTTCGCGCTAGCTGTAGAAAAGATAAGAATATGTGCATTCAAACCAATAGTCACCTATAAATATTTGATCGAAAACACTTGGAGCCGTACTGGACCATGTACCCGTATTGTGGAAACGGATGCAGGCAGTATCCTCTAAGACTAGTAAAAATAATGCAGTGAGGAATGAACATTTTATCGCTGACGTTAACATCTTCCTTATTCTGGTGTAAGTCTCCAACCCATTTTCGGGCGTCGCCCATCACCAGAGACCTCTCAGAATCACTCGCCGAGTACCGGGCGCTAAATGATTTCGGTGTTTTACGACATGGCATGAGTGCGCAGGCCATAAAAGCCGCTGCTACGACCAGCTTTATGTCACTAACAAAGTGCGCATATGAAACATTTCCCTGCGACACAACGGGGCAACGCTTACACGACAAGGGAGTTCAATTTCGGATAATGCTCACTAGGCTCGCTCACACTAAAACGTTCTTTTGTGGTATTTGTTCTCTATCAGAGAAATGTCAGTCTTGTTTACCATAATGCGCTGTGATAAATTCAGCATAAGCTCGCGGTCGACGGCGGCGAGCTCTCAGAGACGCAAAACTTGGCCGTCGTTTTGATCTCAGGCTGGCGTGAGAGGTGTGCTATGTGCCTGTTAATTAAGCTGAGTTAAAAAAGCGAAGAATCAGCAGTTGGAAAACGAAATGGCCTCCTTAAACAGCCCCGTCCAACTTCAGAAAGACCGTCTTCTTAGGCTTATGAATTTTTATGATAGGTAAATACGAAGTTGTGGTGCCTATGTCTTTATATACGAATATTCCCGATCTAAAATCCTAGCGCTTCAGCAAATGTGATAAAACAGGAAGGTGATGCGGAGTAGGTTGTGGGGGGGGGGATGATATTGATCTTTACAAAGTTACTGAATCGATGCCCAAACTCGTCATCAAGCTCTATCTATCAGAGTAACAAAAACAGTTAACGGAAACTGCCGTCAAATCGACAACGTTGTGTGGTGACTACCGCACAGCCGGACATTGACGGCTCGCACCTGCAGTGGTACGGTGCACGACGCACACCGGCTCATCAAACATGAAGCAGCTTTGCCAACCAAAATCCTTGTGTGAAAACAATTGAAATGTTATCTATAAACGGAGCTCCCTTAGGAAGCGTTTAATCAATTTGGTAGTCCCATTATGGTGCAACGACAGCCACTCGCTCCATTGGATTTAGACCAGTCTTTTCCAGTCTTCCAGTCTTTTTACACCGACAAGAGCCAGTGTCTCTGATGCACTCACATAACCTAATGTGTTTGTGTAATCCAGATAGGTATTGGCGGGTCAGCCAGGGATGGTGCCTTCCGAACATCTCGGGGCGCGGGCAGTATGGAAACTAATCTAGCGGACGGGAGGACAGGTCAGTGTGTGCTGGTGAGATGAAGAGGAACAGAGGATCGAACGCTCTCGTACTCGGGACCTTAAATATTTCAGCTAAAACCTTCACAGCTGCACTTTGATCCAGAGGAGAGCACTACTCGCCCCAATTCCATCACAAATTCACAGCAACTACCATCCCTCAACTTCCTCGTATCGCGGAGCCGGCGGCGGTGCGCAGACTTCCAATGCCGCCCTTGGACGGCGGCTGACCGCAGAGTGGACACTGGACTTCCTTCTCCAGATATACCGCTACACCGACAACCACTGAGTTCGGCGACCTTTGGGCAGCTGCATGGCGGCGTCTGCCACTGGTCCGCTGTCCTGCTACCGCCGCACATCCAGCAGCTCGTGAGCAGCATATTCAAACACCTCTGCCGGATCCACGGCATCCAGCACGAGTGCACACGATGAAAACACCGAAATCCAGGTACATTAACCACACCTTGAGTCCAGCTTATGAACCATGTACTGCGTCAAACCGACTCCGAGCAAAGGCCTCCAGATCACAACATAAGAGGTCCGTGCCTTGACCCGTCGGGCGACCTATCTGCCAGAAGGCGTAGGTACTGTACGAAATTCATTTGGTCAATCACAGAAATTAGCGGGCTGCTCAAATTGAGCTGCCGACCATAATTGGCGGCCTCTGCTGGACGTAACATCGTCATCAAAACCACAAACGGGTTCAATCAGTATCTGTGACCCTATATGAAACTGTTCCGGGGATTATTAATAACGAGCCACACGTTGGTGGCGGCTGCGCGCCATGCTGCTGGAACCAATTGCACACCACTGAACTGTCCGCAAGCAGGAGTGGTTCTTGAATGCGCTGGAGCAGCACAAGAGGTCTGAGTGCGCATCAACGCCAACGCTGCTAACAAGTTCCCCGGGTCTCCGAGAGTCCCCGAGAGTCCCCGAGAGTCCCCGAGGTCCCAAGCGTCCCTGGTGCCCTTGGTGTCCCTGAGTGGGTCCCCGATGGTCGCCGAGTGTCCCCCTGTATAGCCCGGAGTGTCCAGGTGTCCTCTATGGTATTCCCGAGTAACCAGGAGTGTTCCCGAGTAACCTCTTGTAGTCCTGGGGTGTCCCCGAGTGTCCCCGAGTGTCACCGGCTCCTATAGTGTCCAAGTGTCCTCTGGTGTTCCTGACAGTTTCTGAGTGTCCAGCCCGAGTATCCCCAAGTGTCCCCGAAATGTCCCCGAGTGGCAACTGACCTGTGGCGTTAACGACCGCGCCGGTCTTGATACGCCCCTGGGGCGTGACGACGGCGGTGACCCGGCGCGAGCCCCGGTACTCCTCAGTCTCGATGGCCGACACTCCACAGCCCTCCAGCACCTGATCGACAGGGAACGGGCGGGGTCATACTTCGGACGATGTCATAACGCTCACTGAGCGACCTCAGACGGGTCCCTGATACCGCGCGTCGCACCGTAACACACGTTGGATCCCTCTGCATGATAATTCACAGCCGAAGACCAACAAAGTTATGAGAATTAATTATTCATACGACCGAATCCCCACATTGCAGCTGAGGAAAGGCCAACTTTGCATGCACACAGTCAGCCTCTAAAAATACTGTAAAATATTCAGTGCGATCCGGCTCCGATGCAGGATTCATTCAATACGCTTCAAATGCTATCTGGGACGGATGGCGCATAAACTTTGGCAGCCGCACTTCATGGCTGTGGAAATATTAAAAGCCCGCCATCTCGCTGCATCATTTCATGTGTGTCACAACAGCACAGTTTATCTTTCTGCGGCGGATTATGAGGTCTGTGATACAGTGGCCACCCCGGCGCGGCTCCCAACCAGACCATGACACACCGCCCCCGAAAAATAGCAAACCAAAACCCCGGCCGACAGCGGCGCCGAGGCAGAATGGCAGGCTCTGGTTCATGTCACCATGTGTGGCGGCTGAGGGCCGGAGACAGTTCCGGCCTCTGTCGGAGCCAGCGAATCCGGCCTGTGGTGGCGACATGAGCTGCTGCCTGCCCCATCGGCGGCCGGCGAGAAACGGTCCCCGGCCCGGCCCGCCGAGAAATGGCCCGGTCGGCGGCCCGCGGCCGTTACCGAGTTTACGGCAGCACAAACGGCGCCGTCCGGCGGCGTTTCCAGCACGGGCCCGAACTCATACGACTTTAAAGGCGTGTTGTGCATGATGTAAACGGGCCTGCCAGCGCCGCCGGGATTTCGGACCGGAAACGGAAAGCGGTGATTTAGTTGCGCAGATTTAGCGGGGATAAAAGTGCGTGCCATTTACATAAACTAGCAGCTGAAATGGTTCACATAAGGTAGGTATATCGTGAGGTCTGCAATTGCTTGTTATATAACAAGGAAAAACAAATCTAACAATAACTTTATCAACGATTTGCGTGCGGTATGGCCAGTTGGCTAGTCTCGTTGATATTTGTGTATCTTCTGAAATTGGGATTTTTGGCTCACGGTACATGCTATATGCAGTGTTATGCCCATCGAATGGCATTAATCAGCTGGTCCATATCGGCGGTCGGCCAGCCATCACCGCCCAGTGGCAGTGTCCGTCGTACCTCAGACCGTCCATATCGCTGACCGGTCAGACATCATCCCCCACTGCCGCCGCGCCACTCGATCGCATTATACTGACGGCAATATTTCCACCATCGCGGCCACACCCGTATCCGCCGCCATTACTAAATAACACGACCGCGGGGACGGGACGTGCTGTCTCCTCTCCGGGGGGGGGGGGGGGCAGTCCTCCCGGCGGCGGTCGGATATTTGACACAGCTCCAGCCGGCTGGAAGTACGGCGCGTGGCCGACATCCAGCGCCCGGGGACGCCCCTCCCCAGAGGGTGTTTCGTATTGTCACGGTCGCCGCCACCGGGCCTCGCTGGCCATTAATATTCGTGGTTCGAACGCCGGCTGTCGGCGGGGCTTAGCGCGGTGACAGGCGGCCGCGGCGGCTCTGTTCGACCCCCGCCGTGCCGTGGGGCGGCGGGGGTAGGCTGAAGGGAGGGGCTGGGGCCTGGGCGCAGCGGCCCTTGTGCCGGTCCCAGATAGTTATACACACTTCAGTCTTCACAGCCTATGCTGCAAAGTTATTCGTACTGATAGACTTTCAGAAAGCTGACCGTGGGAACTAGGATGTGCACTGTGCACTGTTTAGCACATTGATGAACAGACCACTATGCCATGGCGCAGATCGTCACGCGCCTGAATCTACCTTCTCCTATACGGCACTGCGCCGCCGCCTGGCACCGATCGCCCGCCACCCCTGGGACCGGTCCACCGAGTCGACCCTGCGATCGACAGACGGCTGCAGGAGCCCACCGGGCGACAGAGAGCTTCCCGGAAACGCTGCATTATGCAGACGTCCTTGCACCGTCCCATGAATCGTAACGGAGACACTGGGGCTCCACTTGTGCTTCAACTTGGGACATTCTCACAGGAGAGATTGGATTGGCGCCAGCAGTAGCTGCAAGCCATGGACCTAAAGCTTCTCTGAGACGCAGAACTGTATGGCGCATATCCCGCATATTCCGGGTTCTCAATTGTAGTGGTCTCACCTTGGCGCTCTGTCTGGCGCAGTGCCCTCACTCCGGCGGGCGGCTGGCGCAGTACCCTCACCTGGCACCCTCTCTGACGCAGTGGTCTCACCTTGGCGCTCTGTCTAACGCGATACCCTCACCCTGGCGCAAAAGGTCTGGCGTAATGAGGTCTCACCTTGGCGCCCTGTCTGGCGCAGTGTTCTCACTTTGACGCCCCGTTTGACGCAGTGTTCTCACCTTGACGCCCCGTTTGACGCAGTGTTCTCACCTTGACGCCCCGTTTGACGCAGTGTTCTCACCTTGGCGCCCTGTCTCGTGCAATAGCGGGTGAGCGCCGAGCAGAGGCCGGCCGGGTCAATGGTGCCGTCACCCGGAGAGTACAGACAGCCGTACATGTCGGAGGTGTTAAGCAGAGGGTGAACCTGTGGGGTAAGGGTTTACGATCAACGAGAGGAGCACCTGTGGGGTTGCGCCTCGGGTTGGCGTTATGCGCTTCTCAATGACACGTTTGCTGTTTCAGTGAACAAAATGCAACAGAAAATGGGCATCCTTTGGCCTCTGATCCTGTCAAACTGAGCGCGATTATATTAACCCTCGCCCGCACATGCCATTTTCCCATCCTAGAACGCACATGGGGGGGGGGTGGTTGCCACCCCCCCGCGCCATTTCGTTCCTGTTGGAGATAGAGCTTAGCAGTAAAGACCAAAAAGATTCTTTGGGAAGAGACGAATCCAATGATACCCAGTTTTACCTTCTCAGGTCAGTCATTGACCTTCCAGGTCATGTCAAACTTAAAAATGTTGCTGTTTTGGGTCACCGTTGGATATCAAGTGCGCTGCTTATCAAATACCGATGACGATGCTGTTTTCTGGTGCCAAGCCAGCTAGAACCTCTTTGTCACACTATCCGACCAGAATTTTGTTGCTGAGGTCATTTCAGGTCAAGTTAGGTCAAGGTCAATTATATGTGTTTGTATGTCTGTGTGTGTCTGTGTGTATACTGATGTGTGCACCGATTGTTTTTGGGTCCATATCACATGAAATCATGATCTGAGAAGCTTTTACCAAAAATGCAGTCAAAAAACTTCACAAAAAGTAAATTCAGCTTGCCTAAAACGCAATTATCTTAGATGACCTAGGTTGACCTTGACCCTGACCTTGACCCCTGTACATCGTCGAACAACATGTTCCATGATAGTTGGGAGGTAAGACTGGCAAAATAGGCCGAAATCAGGGTGTCAAAAGCTCACAAGGCCCATGGCAAACGCAAGATGTTGAGAATTGGCCATTTGGGTCATGACATGACCTGAAAAACAAGGTCATATCTCCGAAACCAAAAGTCACAGAAACTTGAAATTTTCAGTGGACATCAGGAAAAGATAGACGAGCAGCTATACGAAAAATCAGCCTTCTAGCTCTAAAAATGTTGAGTGCAGAGCAGAAAGACTGCCTGGGGGGTGGCAACCACCCCCCCATGTGCGGGCGAGGGTTAAATGAAGAGGCACAGTATCACAACACGTTTACAGTTGTCAAAAACATTGCACTTGAAAAAAACAGGTTAAGAAGGGTTCAAAGCATTTAAACGCTCATAATCAATGTTCAAGGTCATTACATCAAACTGAAATGAACATTCAGTAATCAGCCCACAGCCTGCGGCGGTGGCCGGCGCGGTCATCACTGATGATACGTCAGCACTAATTACGGAGCCTGTCGCCGGCGGTATGATGCTATCCAGCCTGCAGACGCAGCTCAAAGGTCGGCCGAGCTCCCGCCGAGCTGATCCGGCGGGGTCAACGAGTAGGAGGTGAGGGGGGAGGGGACAGCACAGCTAATAGCCGGCTTAGATGCCGCTCTGGGAGCCCACCTGCTAATTGGTTCTCGAAATACGAACTGCCTCAGAACGCCGGCTCGTGTCACAGGAGATGAAAGCGACGGAAGCCGACCGGCCGCGTCAACTGAACGGGTCACAGGGGTGGGACGTGCAGTGTGCCCCGATCGGGATCACTGAATTCGGGGACGGGTCGACAGGGCAGCGACCGAGCGACCCGCTGGGATAGCCACCTGCCCACCCGTGTGCCCGCGCCCTGCTCCTGTACAGTTTAGCGCGGTGTCGAGTTAATGATGCCATGTCGACGTGGCTCCTACTTGTTGGACTCCAGCGCTAACGGTGCAGCAGGGTAGAGCAGCTCCTGTCCGCTGCTCAGTGACACTCTGTCTCGGGACAGAGTGCCGGAGAATGAGAGACTGACGGCAGGCCTTGATTAGGACTGTGGACTCTGCTGATTATAACATTATTTACTTCTGTTAACAATATGTTTACTAATGTTTCCGCAGTATGTCTTTAGTTCTGTTAAGTGTTATAGCAGAGGCAAATTAGCTTTAGCCGATGAAGTATTTGAGGTCACGAAGAGTTGAATTGGTGCCGAAACGAAGGCTATTATGCACTCAAAACTTTTTTACTACCTCGGAGGGTTCATTTTCATCAAACCAGCAAGATAAGAGTATATTGAAAGGGTAACTCTTTGCTACCATTATGTGCATAGTAACGGTACGTGGTTGATATGAACTTATTCGCCAGCGAAGAGTATTATTACCATGCAAATATCAATATTACTCTCGCGATCCAGAACATCACGAAAACTCTTTCCTTCTGGGTATCGTGACTCGTGTACAGATAGTCGTTTCATGCGTGGATCTTGTTTACCCTCGTGAAGATGATATATGTAGTTTGAATTTCAAATGACCTTTTCCTCGATAATTAATTGAAAATGTAATAAAAAGCAAATATTATATTGTTTGGCAAATTTTCGAACAACAGTTCATTCTCAAGCCACATGAAACAATTGACAACGAAGTTTTATAACTGCCGCCAAGCCACTTTTTTTAAATTCTTACACGTGATATACAAAGTGGTCTTCTTAAAATCGGAAAGCTGAACTAAATCGATCATATCCCAAGCTGTTCTAACTCCACCTATTCCACATATACATCCACACATACATGACCATTAAAAGTAATATGCGAGCACACCCACACAAATACATACAATATGGTTCTTCTTGGTCGTGGATCGTGTCACATTAAAACAAAAAATAACAATACAAACACTTCGAAAGTCTCGTAGTAGATCGTGTCGTAAAAGGGCGGTTCGGTTTAAACAATCATACAAATGCATACAACTAATATGCCGGCACTCCCACACAAATACATACAATATGGTTCGTCTTACGCTTCGAAGTCTCGTAGTAGATCGTGTCGTATAAGGCCTTATATGTAGTGTCGTAAAAGGTTCGGTTTAAACAATAATACATAATACATATGCATAGAACTTCGAATCAAGCGCAGTAACAATAAACCACACATGATTTACAATGACAGCCAGTGGATAATGAAAACAAACGACTATCATTCTATAGTATGGACCATGAAGACATATTGGAGTTGAGCTTTGGGTGCTTCTTTTGGATAAGGAGAGATTCCGCGATTTTCCTATCTGGGTGATCTTTCGACTTATACAAAATGCGTACTTTGAGAGGTGTGCCTCCTTCGTGGGTGGAGTGACACTCTTGAAAATGATCGCCCATGGGCGTGTCGCGTGTTTTGTTGAGCGCGTCCCTCAGGTGTTCATTGAATCGTAAGCGCACCGGGCGCTTCGTCTCGCCTACGTATGTTACGGTCTCTCCATTGCTTTCACAGACAGTACATGTAATCTCATAGACTAAGTTTTTCTGTGTGCAGTCCCCAGAGAACCCCGAGCTGCATGTGTGACATCTTTGACCTCCTGGGCATATGGGCTTACACAGTGCTGATCTCACTCACAGCCCGTCGTTCCTGGTACGCTACATTGATGATTATGCTGGAGTATGGACTCACGGTGAGCAGACGCTCAAAGACTTCCTCACCTACCTCAACTCCCTACATCCATCGGTAAAGTTCACTTTAGACTACTCTGACAAAGAAAAAGGAGTGCCATTTCTAGACACGTTGGTGACGGTTGAAGAAAAGGATGAGGTCACAAAAATTGAGACAGAGCTCTACATCAAGCCCATGAACTCGGGCATTATTCTTCATTTCGATTCTGCACACCCAAAGTCGACCAAACTCAACGTGGCTAGAAATCAATTTAAACGGGCTATCAGGAATTCATCAAACAACATGAAGGAGAGGAAAAGTGTAGAAAAGATAAGGCAATTACTCTTAAAGAATGGCTACCCAAACTATGTCCTGAACAGGTTGCTCAGAGAGGCTAGGGGGAACAAGACTCAGTCGAGAACTAGAAGAGACAGGACCCAAGAACCGTGTGATGGGTTCCTTACACTTCCTTATGTAGATGAAAGACTCCTGTGCGAAGTCAAGAGGAAAGTGAGACAATCAGGCCTCAATGTAAAGTTAGCATGGAAAAATTCACAAAAACTAAAAGATAAACTGGTGAGATCAGCACTGTGTAAGCCCATATGCCCAGGAGGTCAAAGATGTCACACATGCAGCTCGGGGTTCTCTGGGGACTGCACACAGAAAAACTTAGTCTATGAGATTACATGTACTGTCTGTGAAAGCAATGGAGAGACCGTAACATACGTAGGCGAGACGAAGCGCCCGGTGCGCTTACGATTCAATGAACACCTGAGGGACGCGCTCAACAAAACACGCGACACGCCCATGGGCGATCATTTTCAAGAGTGTCACTCCACCCACGAAGGAGGCACACCTCTCAAAGTACGCATTTTGTATAAGTCGAAAGATCACCCAGATAGGAAAATCGCGGAATCTCTCCTTATCCAAAAGAAGCACCCAAAGCTCAACTCCAATATGTCTTCATGGCCCATACTATAGAATGATAGTCGTTTGTTTTCATTATCCACTGGCTGTCATTGTAAATCATGTGTGGTTTATTGTTACTGCGCTTGATTCGAAGTTCTATGCATATGTATTATGTATTATTGTTTAAACCGAACCTTTTACGACACTACATATAAGGCCTTATACGACACGATCTACTACGAGACTTCGAAGCGTAAGACGAACCATATTGTATGTATTTGTGTGGGAGTGCCGGCATATTAGTTGTATGCATTTGTATGATTGTTTAAACCGAACCGCCCTTTTACGACACGATCTACTACGAGACTTTCGAAGTGTTTGTATTGTTATTTTTTGTTTTAATGTGACACGATCCACGACCAAGAAGAACCATATTGTATGTATTTGTGTGGGTGTGCTCGCATATTACTTTTAATGGTCATGTATGTGTGGATGTATATGTGGAATAGGTGGAGTTAGAACAGCTTGGGATATGATCGATTTAGTTCAGCTTTCCGATTTTAAGAAGACCACTTTGTATATCACGTGTAAGAATTTAAAAAAAGTGGCTTGGCGGCAGTTATAAAACTTCGTTGTCAATTGTTTCATGTGGCTTGAGAATGAACTGTTGTTCGAAAATTTGCCAAACAATATAATATTTGCTTTTTATTACATTTTCAATTAATTATCGAGGAAAAGGTCATTTGAAATTCAAACTACATATATCAAGATGTTCCTCGCTAGAGCGCTTCATACTATTTCTTCGTGAAGATGATATTTGAAATGGAATCACTCAGCCAATCAGAAACGAGATCGGCCGTTTGCGGTTTGAAGGCCGCGCGCATCTGTCAGTTTTCGGCCGTTGGTCTCCGAGAGCGGATGTGAGCAGTGTCGGTGCCGCGCGGCGTGGCCGTTGGTGATTGTGCTTGTGTGCTGTTCATCGCCTATAGAGTCTCTGTGGACATTTTATTGTAAGTACCGATGTGCTAGAGCATTGCATGCCGTTGAGTGGTGCTAATTTGACCTGGTTAACAGGACCCCGTGCACGGCCACGTGGCCTAGGTTGTGAGTACGTACATTAATTTTGTTGTGATGCTACAAGTTTATGCATTTTGTTGGTGACTTTGAAAAAGCCTTGCACTGTAGTGATCCAGTCTCATTATCTCACGCAGACGGGCGACCACCCAGGAACGCCGTCGCTCTCTTCAAATATTGTGCGCTGTGCCTTATCCAATATGAGGGCGCTGAATGTCTTGTATTCACATTCAAAGTGCATTCAAGTTGTATCGTGGTGTTTATTTACCGCTTGTGCATTGCTGAACGCTTCGTATAAATTCGTATGCATAAGTGAAGAGTCTCACAATGTTCATGGCTGGTGTGCCCCTCGTATTGTTTGTACGGAAGCCAAATATACATTGTTGCTCTTGAAGCATGTTTTTTAGTTGGTGAGCTCCGGTTAACAGAAGCTTCGTGAAGCTTCTGAAGCAAGCGTCTGTGAGTCTGTTACCATCCTCTGGGGGGTTTACACTAAAGGAAAGAGTAAACATTACCATGTGACAAAGGGTAGGCCAGAAGAATATGCTCTCTGTAGGAGGGTAAAGCACAGAGTAGATGATGCGTTACTCCCTAGAAAAGGGTTCCGTTTAAGATTTACCCTTTCAAAGAGTGTAACCCAAAAAATGTTACACTCTAGACAAGAGTAAATCAAAAGAGTTTACCATTCAGAAGATGGTAAAAAACGTCTGTGTGTCATGTTACCCCTCCCTGGCGAGTTTACTCTTCATGAAAGAGTAAAATTTACCATCTGGAAGGTGGTAAAAAACGTCTGTGTGTCAAGCTACCATGCTATGGCGGGTTTACCCTTCAGGAAATGGTAAAAAAGTTTTCAGTGTGCCGTGTACTCATGCTATTCAGTTGTCACTATATATCTCGCATGCATCAAGGCAATTGCCAAAAACAAGTGCCTTCAAATGCCTATGTAGTATGCGCACATGACTTGCAACCACTTCATCTGTCTCCATCCTCATATTTATTTGTAATATTTATTTTTCTGTAACCAAACCGGCACTTCAAAAGTTCGCAATGAGCCGCGCCAGATGCACATACATATGTACCACGTCATGTGTATATGTCAGTGTCACTGGGTCTGTTGTATCGGAAGTGCAGGCGTCCCGTCCACTCCTCCAGCCCGCAGTACAAACTGGATATAGCTGGTTACTACTGGTTCTATCCGCGCCTGTATAAACAGTCCGTACTGAACGGTGGAGTTAACCCGCCAGGGTGGTAAAACGGCCTGCACAGCTCTCCGAACAACGAAGTGTGTTTATTTGACTTGTCAGAAAAAAATTAAGCCCAGCGAACATGCGTGCTTCAAGGCTGTGTACTGTTCGGATCAGTTGAATTGGGGTCAATAGGAACATAACTGTTAACGCAGCAGCCTGGAGTGTATCAATACACATGTCATGCGCACATGTTGATCTCGTGTGTCTCACTCTAGCTCGTGCCTGTCGGCGCCCGGACCCCCTCCCCTCCAGAAGGCCTCGGCTAACGGTACTCCGGCCTCCATCGGCCCCGGCGGGCGTCAAACGGCCCGAACCGCGCCGCGCTACCATCCCATAGCCAGTTTCGGGCCCATTTCAGTAAACAGCAGCCGCGAGAATGCGGCCCAACACCCAGCAGACAACTGAATCGGACGGCGCCACAGCGCTTACGCGGCGTAAGCGGCGCATTCAGAGCGGAGCGCGCAAAGACGGAACAGTCTAGAGCGAGCAGCAAACGCTGAATCGTGGTCCTAGACAAAGTTTTGCATGCAGTTGCTTATTTTATAGTTAGCTCCAAAATACGGAAGTCGGAGCGGCAGTCACACTGTCGAAGATTGAGGCTTCGAAGAAATAAGACGGAAGAAGTATTTTTCACGGAATTCGAATAAACTCGCATTTGGGCCGATCGAGGATCAGCAATACGAGTTTCCTAGTGCGTTTGCGACACTTCAATGGCCGGCAGCGGCTGTCACACGCTGATAACCGCTGAACGGTACGCACAACACACAACCGAGCCGAGTGAAGCGTTCGAGATCCCTGCACGGCGCGGGCTATGGCAGAGCTGCGCAAATGGTTCAGGACTCCTAGAATGTTTGTGAAACGCAAAATGTGCCAGTTTAGAAAAGATGTTTCTGACAGCAATTGTCGGAAATGGTCCACCACACAGCTACATTTCATGTGACAGACATGTCATCCGTGAAATTCGTGTTGCTGTCAGCCTCCATCAGCTGCTGCCAGCAAACAAGAAAACAGGTCCTTATTTTTGTTCCATAACATGCAATCGGGATGCCGAGCAGACAGCATCGCGACAGCTCTGAAATAAGATCGACACGTTTGTGATGTTTATCGCGTTAAGTGCCCTTTCCAGTCTCACATTTAACAAGTCCGAAAGCCTGGTGGTTTGTTTGAACAGAGACACACCTCAAATGGCTCGATCGTGTTTATAAGCTGGCTTTCAGAGAGACGCTTCGAAATTCACAGCGACCGCTATTCCGGTAACGCTAAGGGGATCAATTATATATTTCGCAGAACAAACTTTCGCGACAGTGGAGCACCATCAACTGGTGCTCACTCACTAACCACACCAGTGCGGCAATCGGCGCCACTCCATCCGCCCGTGGCCAAATCCTGCACAACAACACCACCGAGTATGGTCGTCTAGGCGGTCAGGCGAAAGTGTCTGTTCAGTAGACCCCTCCATTTCACTCAACTTCCCACTGCGCGCCTAATCGAGCAGCTTAGCCTGCCTTTGACCGACCTGTATCTCTCTAAATGTCCCTGTGTCTCCATACCCAGCCAAGCTCGCCTCCTCGAGTGATCCCGCTCCCCTTCCCTTTCTCCCTCACTGACCTTGTGGACGTCTGAGGGTGCGAGCATCTGGTTCTCGATGCCCAGCGCGCTGCCGATGGTGCTCAGCCGGCGGTACTCGTCGAACCGCTGCCGGTTGTTGGCGATGAAGAGACCGCCGTTGTTGATCCAGCCGATCTCCATGCCCGTTTCCTCCTCGAGTCGCGGCATCTGCGTCACCATGTGGCCCAGCAGCGCAATCGAGGTGTCGCTCGGCCGCAGCCGCCACACCAGGCCTGAAGGGTGAAACGGGAGAGATAGAGCCGCAGCCGCCACACCAGGCCTGAAGGGTGAAACGGGAGAGGTAGGGCCACAGCCGCCACACCAGGCCTGATGGGTGAAACGGGAGAGATAGGGTCACAGCCGCCACACCAGGCCTGACCACAAACGGGAGGGTAAGGTCACAGCCGCCACTCCAGACCTGTTGGGTCAGGGAATGTCACAGCCTCATGATTCTAAGGGGTCGATTAGTCCACTTGACATTACTCTTTGCCAACAAGCCGAATGGAGCAGCAATCCCCAGACTGCAGTGAGAGATCGCTGAGTGGCGGATACGTGACTGAACAGGATACGCTAAATGCTATTACGTAATGGAACGCTGTGACCTAGAGCTCTTAGTGACCTCAACAGATAATTGGACTCAGAACCAGTTTAGTGCCTGGCGAACACGCGACAGCAGTTAACCTTCCAGGCGGTGGGGGGGGGGGGCATTTTTTTGCCCCCCTTTAGTTTTTTCGATATATTTCGAGAACCGCTGCGCCGATCGTCACCAAACTTTCAGTACCCTCCCAGGAGCAGCTAGCGCACATGGTGACCAAAAATTTTTCCAAAGGCTATGATAGGTTGGCCGCTAATGACGTCAGAGTGACGGCATTTTTGCCATTTTCGACCCAAAAAAAGGTTTCGCGGGAAGAGCTGTCAGGCCTACAGCTTTAGAGATACAGAAAAATGTTTCAACTTAAAAGGTGTGGAATTAAAAGGGCTACAAAACTGCTATTTCGGTTTTTCGAATTTTTTGGATTTTGACGCTCAAAAATAAAAAAACAGATTTTTTGAATATAATAGCCGAAAAATCCAAAAAGTTTTTTGATTTTCGAAAAAAAAACGGAATATATGTGATAGCCCCTACCGCCTTCTATCTACATACCAAACTTGAGATCGATACCTCTTTTTTACCAAGTTATAGCGAAAAAAACCGTTCAAAATTGATGACGTCAAATTTTCAAACTCAATTTTTAGCAATTCTAGACCTCGTAGCGCAAAACAAAGACCACCATTAGACTCCCCGTGACGAGCTGCATCGAATTGATACCCATATTATGCAAAAATATCAACTTTGAAATTTGACCTTTTTTTACCTGACCTTGACCTGACCTCCACCAGAAAGTGACCTAAACCGTACCTGATGGTCTTATAACCAACACCATTGAGTTGGAAATGAAAAACTGGCCATAAAACATGCATCGCATAACCTTAGTAAAGTTGGGCTCATGTGGTGACCCTTGGTGACCTTTGGTGACCTGACCTGTGACCTGACCTGGTATGACCAGTGACCTCTAATAGCAACATATGTACTAGACAACTGACGCCTTATCGCTGATTTTCGACAAAATGCGTTTTACTCGGTGTTATAGCGCTTTCCCTAGAAGCCCCGTGAACGGTGAAACATTTTATCTTTGACCTGACCTGTGACGTCATCGGTGACCCCGAGGTCAATGAAATTTGGTTTCCTTCAACAAATTTGACAGGGCTATCGAACGCCGTTTGAATTTTCCGGATCCGTCCAGTAGTTTCGGAGATACGGGGGGGGGGCAAAAAGTGCCCCCCCCCCCCACCGCGCGGAAGGTGGCTGGTAGGCCCACCGCCTGCCGGGTAACGCTGGTCTTTGGTGACCAATAAAAAAAAAACGTTTTAATCTACAAGAACATATAGAAAGGTAGTTCTCGGTCAGAGCGAACAACTAGGATCCTACCAGTAGTGCCCAGTTCAGCTACCATTCCTCCCGTCGAGCGCCCTTCCCCGTCACCGCTCCCGCCAAGAGCATCCCGTTCAGTCGTCGCCTTAGTGCGGCTGTGAATCGATCAAACTTCCCCGCCAGCTGACAGCTACGCTGCTCCGAGTAACCACTGACCGGGGAAGTGCCGTTGACCACAACTCCGTGACCATGGACACAGATTCTGAGCTTGTTCAGCATGTCTAGCTTCCGTGATCGTATGATCTCTCTGAGTCTCTGGACGGCACCGAGCTAGTTAATTGATTGAATCACTCAGGCTGATTTGAAGCATTTTGCAGAACTTGTCAAACGGTACCGTTCCCATCACAAGCGAGCTGTGCAGCTACTAATTCCTCATCAGCGGTATGCATTCGTCCCGGCATTATGACAATTGATACTGCCGGACCTCACCTGCCGTGTGCCACGTGGTTCCGGCGGTCAGCGAGTGTTTCTCCAGCAACACAGTGTTGGTGACTCCCATCTTGGCCAGGTGGTACTGGGTCTGGCAGCCCAGACTGCCTCCACCTGCCGGCGACAGAGAAACGAAAATCACAATCCACCGTCAGGATTCGGCATAAAGAGCAACTGTCAGCAAGCCCGAAAGGGACAGTATATTGTCCCGTTTCATGTAGGAGTTTTCTGCACTCCAGACGACAAACAGTGTCGCCGCTCCTCTAGGCTACAGCGAGCACAGTCTGTCGTCATTCGCTCGACACGTGCCGCGCGCGCCATCATTAAACTTGTTGACGCCGAGCCCCGTCACGCTACCGTCTGCCGCAGCACCCCGGTACGCCCGTCTTCATTTCCTCCGACACGTCTCCTGTCCCGTCATTCCTTACTACTTTGTTTTTGTTGGTTAGTTTCACTCAGATGTTACAACACTGAGTTCTTCAAACTAATGCGATTGAATAAATATGCGAGCATAAGTATGATAAATATTATTCCAAAAAATTCAAATAAACATTTAAAACATGAAAACCGTACGTGAAATTTTCATTTGTAAAGGATTTTTTACGACTCTTCCAAGTTTAAACATGCATTGAGCATTTGTTACGTAACTGCCATATATCTTCCAACGGCATATTAGAAGGTCAAACGTGAAGAAACTTCACCTCAACGCAATTCGCGTCGTTTGAAGTAGTTCTGGCGCTGTGACAACAGTGCCAACTCAACTAGAAGACGATGAGCGTAAGAACAAGTAACCAGAACCGAGGTGGTCTGTGGGTGTGGGCTGAGAGGAAGCCGGACGAGTCTCCCGGACTGTCGTGCGGTGGTAGGAGGGGAGGTGCTGGGTTCTCCCAGTCCGCAGTGCGCGGGTGAGGGGAGGGCTGGTCTGTCGAGTCCCGGATGACACGGCTCACGACAGAAGGGGACTCCGCCGGCGGCTGCTTCGTTAGCGACGCGACTCGTTAGCGCAGCTCTCCGCCTTAGGCGAGGGTGGGTCGAGGGAGGGGGTGAACGAGCCGGGTGAGCCCGCCCAGCTCCGAGTGACGTTCCGCACATAACAACGACGACGGAATCCCCCACACCGCCCGGTTTCTGGAAATGTTTGCAGCGTGGTAGGCGAGTAAATCATTTGGTTGTCGGAAGACACGTCCCCGTGTTGAGCAAATGTTGTCCACCTGGACATAACACACACACGTTGCTGGGTCCTGAGCGTGTCTGAAGAGGTGGCTGGGTGCGAACAGCTGTATACGGCACAGGAGACAGCCGGAGCTGGCACGAAGGCTCACGCGATGTCATCGTGTCAGGTCCGGCATGTGACATGGCCCTTCGTTCACAAATACGTGGTTCTTACATCACGAGCATGCATGGTTACGTAAGAACCGCTTTCGAAGTTTTGTTTCAAATAGTTTCATGCATGCGAATATTCAACAGTACAATCAAAAAGAGGCTTTTTACTGCATATAAATATTTTTGGCTGACTACTTAAGCCCCATATGTCACTAGAGACTAATGTTTGTTCCCCACTCTGCAGCCGAGACAGCATGAAGTCTTTGTCAGAAGTTTCAGCATTTACGGCACCATTCGAATTTCTGTTATAAATGGTCGTATTTTCGTGAAAACAACAACCATAAGCCTTGTGTGTTGGGTTGAAAACACGCGTTTACCTCTCGATCTCGCCCAGCAGCCGGCCGAATGTTTGCTCCGTTCCAATATTTGGCAATAAACGAGGGCATAAAATGGCGTAGCGTCGGCTGCTATTTTGATTACCGGCACGCAGGCGCCGGCTAGCGTCCGGTTAAGGCCACTAAAACACAGCCTGTTCGACCGAATAGTCCCACCGGCTCTGTAGAGCACCGGTGCAGCACAGCTCAGCATCGCCCCAGCACCAACCCATCAGGCTCAGCACCGCCCCAGCACCAGCTCAGCACCGGCGCAGCTAGCCCAGCGGCCAGCCCACTACCGGTCCAGCACCAGCTCAGTACCAGTCCAACACCGACCCAGCACCGGCCCAACACCGACCAAGCACCACCAGTCCAGCACCGGTCAGCACGTGCCTCGGAACCATAACAGTCGCAGCATCCCAGATAAAACACCATCAGCGGTGATAGGTGAAGAAAAAACGCTAAAGCTCAGTCTTTGCAGATTGATGAATGCAGGTGTTTGCTCCTTGTTTGATGGCAAGTGCATTGGTATGCAGCTTTGAGCCACTAGACGAACAATTGCTTTGCCTGGTAAGAATCGGGGCTTGTGCGAGTTGGGAAGATGTAAAGTGGCAGGCAAAATTGATGATTGTCGCATCATTCGTATTTGAATCCACTTGTAGAAGTTCTCCCCTTTGCCTGCACCACCACTCATTTAGAAATGTGTAAAAGACAATGTGTAAAGAAAGCAAAAAGACATACCAGGGAGCGTTCGTGCAGCTATGGCCCGTCACACTTTTTTACGCTACGCAAGCTGCTCTGCAGGGGTGCACAAACATTTACTATTTCTGAGAATTCCTAGCGGTGTGATCGGTTATTTACCGATGTTCGAGGAAGACGTGGGCCAGTTCCGAGTCTGATAGGGATGGGTCTCTGGTGTCCCGAGTCTGCGACAATGGAAACTGGCCGCATGGCGACAGGACACGCTGTTACCGAGCGTTCACCACGGCGAGGCTGGGTAACATGGGAGTAACATGGGAGACTGTCCGCAATCAGCTAGTGTTTTGAACAATTGTATTTTGTACCACAGAATACTACGCAGTTCGGTTTTGCCTTTTTTCAATGATTATGAAATCATACACTACTCACTACCAAATTTATCACGCAAGTTTAAAAAAAAACTTATCTTTCGGTGAAGCGTAGATAGCAACGAACTGTCGTGAATCGACAAGTAGGCATGCTCAACAAGAAGTGACATGATCCCAAAACTTCCCTGTTCCCCACAGCGTGTGTCCCTTTCCGTCCGCAGCGCTGTGTTTAACTGAGCATGCTATCTGAACAGGGCTCCAGCCTCTGATAGAGCCGTCTGAACACGGCGCCTCGGATGGCTGCCACAAGCGGTCCTCCGATGGCACTGTGTTGACTAGCGCGCTGTCTCCGACCAGCCGGAGGCCTAGGTGATTGCCGCTACGACGCATCTAATGTGAAGTGATCGCAACACGGATTACTGAGGATGGAGAGAGTGGGGCTAAACGAGACAACGAGCCCGAAGATACGGAGACTCAGAGAGGTACAGTTGCGGATGAAACGGAAACTCTGCAAAGGGAATTAAATGGAGGAACAAGCAAGCTAGGGAAGGGCTGGCAAACAATAGAGAGCGATGTCCCGTCGTGTGATTTTTGTAAGTTCTGCGCTTGGTATAGGTCGCACAACATCTAAAAGGAAAAATTATCAGGAAGGTGGCTGTTCTTTGACATGCTGTACTAGTACGGTCGTTACAGTGCACGGACAGTCACGCCATACACACGTCACGCGAGGTTCAGATGACGTCAACAACTCACCAATGATGACGACATCAGCCTGCTCGGGCACGGAGACGGGTCGGTGGATCTCCTTGTTGGCGAAGCTGGTGTCGTAGGGTACCCCGGAGAGGCCGTCAGGACTGGCCGGCGGGGAGTGGTAGGCGCGCCACGAGGCGGGCAGCACCTGTCGACAGGTCACAGGTCAGGTCACGGGTCAGGTCTCGGGTCATATTACGGGTCAGGTCACCGGTCAGACCACAGGTCAGGTCACGGGTCGGGTCTTGGGTCAGGTCTCGGGTCAGATGACGAATTGAAGTACGGATTTCACGGGTCAGATCAGGTCCTAAATCAGCGGGTCAGTTCAAGAGGTGAGATGACGGGGCATAACTATATCGCGGTTTCACTGGCCTGTGCATGATTCATGACCACTCTTACTGCACAAACCCGTCGCTCGATGCCGCTGCCTTATGTGGGCCTAATAGACGACTGTTCATTTATCGCAATGTTATAAAGACAAACGCTTACTATACCTATTACTACATACTATGTGAGAACATTAAACATTCGGAATGATTGGGCTATTCCGGTTGGAAGGATGAAATTTCAAGGGGAGCTCAAAATGATCGTTAAGTCATCTCAACAACGATAATCCAAATGATCCTGCCAAATGATCAACAGAAACCGCCTGAAGCTGTTGTAGTCTCTGTGGCGTTCCGCCTCACTGCTAGGTAGACTGTACCGCAGCACATCCGTGCAGTGCGGAACAGCAGAGTTCCGCACGCTAGCGCCAGCCACAGAAACTACAGCGCCGTGAATGCCATAACACCACCCAGAACCGATAATTTGAGTTCTACTGCACTTCACTCATTGAAAGAGATCTCGTTACGGAGCGAGCGAAGCGAGCGTAGTCTTTCCTTAGATTAACGGAAATTTCTGAGTATGAGCGGCCGGCCGGCCGGCCGGCCGGCCGGCCGGCCGTGGTCACGCTTTTGCGAGGCTTATATCTCAGCAACCACTTGACCGATTTACACGCGGTATTTTTTCTAGGGTAGCTTCATTCCTTCTACCAAGTATTGGACTATTCCCGATGCATGTGGGTGACCCCTTATGCACGTGCCACGTGCAAAACGAAGAGGTGTCACTTTTGTAATTGTTGCAATATCTCCGTAACTACTTGGCCGATTTCGCTGAAAGTTGGCATGTAGGTAGGCACCCACTAGGCAATGCATATCCATGTGCCAGAGTTGGGGTGCTGCTGCACGTGCGCACGTGCAGGGGTCGATTCCAGATCTCGAGAACGGCTGGACCGATGGCGCTCAAATTTGGTACATGGTTAGGGACCGGTTAGTAGGGTGCCGTGCAAAAGTCAGTTGGGACCCATTTTGCACGTGCGCACGTGCAGGGTGCCGCTTCCAGATCTCGAGAACGGCTGGGCCGATTGTGCTCAAATTCGGCACATCGCTAGAGACCGGTTAGTAGGGTGCCGTGCACAAGTCAACTGGAGGTACCCCCTCGAAATTTCGCACGTGCAAGGCTCACCCTCTCGCTCGCTCCGTTAGTCGCCCCAAAAGGCGTTATACTGGTTTATCAGTAACCATATTTTCCTACGACTGGGTAAAAATCACTATCGATGTGCTAGGGAAAGGTAGGAGAGGGGGCGCTGCTAAGAATATGTGATAAGAATGACATTCAATGATCGGATGTTTTCGGATAAATTTAAATAAATTGTGCGCATTAACCCTCGCCCGCACAATGCACATGCCATTTTCCCATCCTAGAACGCACATGGAGGGGGGGGGGGGTTGCCACCCCCGCGCCATTTCGTTCCTGTTGGAGATACAGCTTAGCGGTAAAGACCAAAAAGATTCTTTGGGAAGAGACGAATCCAATGATACCCAGTTTAACCTTCTCAGGTCAGTCATTGACCTTCCAGGTCAGGTCAAACTAAAAAATGTTGCTGTTTTGGGTCACCGTTGGATATCAAGTGCGCTGCTTATCATATACCGATGACGATGCCGTTTTCTGGTGCCAAGCCAGCTAGAACCTCTTTGTCACTCTACCCGACCAGGTTTTTGCTGCTGAGGTCATTTCAGGTCAAGTTAGGTCAAGGTCAATTATATGTGTTTGTATGTCTGTGTGTGTCTGTGACGTGTGTATACTGATGTGCGCACCGATTGTTTATGTGTCCATATTGCATGAAATCATGATCTGAGAAGCTTTTACCAAAAATGCAGTCAAAAAACTTCACAGAAAGTAATTTCCGCTTGCCTAAAACGCAATTATCTTAGATGACCTAGGTTGACCTTGACCTTGACCTTGACATCTGTACATCGTCGAACAACATGTTCCATGATAGGTTGGAGGTAAGACTGGCAAAAAAGGCCGAAATCAAGGTGTCAAAAGCTCATAAGGCCCATAGCCAACGCAAGATGTTGAGAATTGGCCATTTGGGTCATGACATGACCTGAAAAACAAGGTCATATCTCCGAAACCAAAAACTACAGAAACTTGAAATTTTCAGTGGACATCAAGAAAAGATAGAGGAGCAGCTATACGAAAAATCAGCATTCTAGCTCTACAAATGCTGAGTGCAGAGCAGAAAGACTACCTGGGGGGGCTGGCAACCACCCCATGTGCGGGCGAGGGTTAATATGCACAGTGTAATTGTCAGACCAGCGTATATAAATGAATCATTTTGACTATCCTATGGTGCATCGATTAAGTACTACGTCAAACACGTTAAAAAATATTTTTTAGATCGGCTCATGATGGGGAGCAGAGGGCATGGATCAGAGAAAATGAGTTTAGGATCTGACATCAATAATGATGATATCGGATCCGATAGGCTCATAGATACAGCTCCCCCCTCTCTCTCTCTCTCTCTCTCTCTCTCTCTCTCTCTCTCTCTCTCTCTCTATCTCTCTATCTCTCTCTCTCTCTCTCTCTCTCTCTTTCTCTCTTTCTCTTTTTTCTCTCTCTCTCTCTCTCTCTCTCTCTCTCTCGCTCTCTCTCTCTCTCTCCTCTCTCTCTCTCTCTCTCTCTCTCTCTCTCTCTCTCTCTGTAGTTGCCAGATCCATCGGAATCATAGATCCGAACCCATAATTTTGCCTACAGGTCCGGTGAGATCATATAT